CCTCTTTTACCTTCCTGTCTTTCATTTTCATGTTCACTTAAGATAGCTATACAGGGAGTTTCATTATGACATTTCCACGTACATATGTATTAAATCCTGAATTGGTTCATCCCTTCCATTATTTTCCCAACACTGCCCACAGGACAAATTAACACTCTTCACAAACCAGTCTAAGGTTAGATAATTAAAAGCACTTTCTGACATGAAGCTGGGATATACTGTGAGTTGTAACCTTTTTCTCTTTTAAAATATAAAAAGGGAGAGTAGATACCTCTCCATACCAGCTAATAAAACCACTGGTTCATTCATGGACCATTCTGACTGTAGCTAGGAATACAAAATATGAACAGTAAAACAAGCTGAACTAACAAATATAAAAGAACTTGGTATGAGCCCCATCAAAAAAGAGGACGTAGCTGCTATAGCTTTGTGGCTTTGGAAATTTATGTTTTATCTGACGTGGGATCTGTAAGCCCTGAAGTCTTATGATGAAGACACTACTTTTAAAATCTAGTCATTCTGTGAAGTGACAAATATGCTAACCACCCTGATCTGATCATTAAACATTGTATACATGTATCAAAATCCCACATAAATGCCCATAAATACATGCAACTACTGTGAATTAAAAATAAAAATATAGGATATAGTCACTCTAAATTGTTCCTTACTAAGAAAGCAGGCACTAAACCATATATGATATTTTCAAGTTGGAAGTAAAAATTGAATACTATGTGTCATTCCCAGTTCACTTTAGAGAATTAAATTTTCTAGAGTAAAGGCACATACTATGCCTGGTCTTGGGCTTTTCAATATCACAGGATGGCAGGTGAAATGAGAGAGATGGCAGGCAAACAGGTATGAAAGAAATGCCCACTCTGACTAGAAAACCCACTAAGAAAACATAGCCTCTCTTGCCTAACTTTTCAAAACGTGATGGAGTGCCATAAAATCAAGAGGTACATTTCTTTCTTTCTTTCTTTCTTTTTTTTTTTAAGGAAAAAGATCTCTAATTCTAGGAGGCAGCACTTATGGGACAAATAAACCATTTCTGTTTAGTCTTGTAGAGTACTGATATCAAGAGATCAGAATAAAAGAGCTGTTACAATACAATTTCCCTAAGACCCAGTAATCCCATTTCTGGGTATATATACGTAAGAACTGAAAACAAGGTCACAAAGAGATATTTGCACACCCATGTTCATAGCAGCATTATTCATGATAGTCAAAAGATGGAAACAACCCTAGTGTCCATCAAAGGAAAAATGGATGAACAAAATGTAATAAATGCAAAAAAGGAAATATTAAAACTTAAAAAAGGAAGTAAATTCTGACATACAATGAAACCTGATTATGCTAAGTGAAATAAGCCAGTCACAAAAGGACAAGTATGTTATGATTCCCCTTGTATGAGTTATCTAGAGCAGCCAAATTCACAAAGACAAAATGTAAAATGGTGGTTGCCAGCGGCTGCGAGGAGGGGAAATAAAGTCACTACTTACCAGGTTCAGAGTTTCAGTTTTGCAAAAAAAAAAAAAAAGTTGTGTGGGTGGATGATGAAGATCTCAAAACAATTTGAGTACACTTAATGTCACTGAATTATATACTTAAAAATGGTTAAAACAGTAAGTTTTACTTAAGTTTAAAAGTAAAATGATTAGAAAATACTTTATTTTTAAAATAACTATTTAAAATAATCAATTAAACAATATTTTCCCCAATTTTCAGAGAAAACAATATTCAATCTTTCCTATCATACTATAAAACTTCAGTACTGCCTATAGCTCATCCGCTCCCTAAGGCAAATAGATGGCGAAACAAATGGGCAGGCACGAGTGAAACACCTTGGGATTCACCAGCCAGGCCTGCTCCACGGCAGCTTGGTGAGCACATAGACGCTCATGCCCTGAGACTTTAATATTAAAGAGTCCACACCTTCCAAAACATTTTTGTTTTTTAGTACTTTGGAAAATAAAAGTGGTCCTTAAAATAAACAAACCCTAATTATCCAGTGCCCTTTTACCCATAGTTTAACAATCACTGTATCCAGGAAATCTATTTTAATGCCTCTCTATTGCATAAAAGTTAAAGGTTAAGAGCAAGTTCACTTTTATCAAGAGAAAAATGTTACTTTATAATTAGGACTGCCCCACTGGGAATAAGAGCCCAGAACTGAAGTTGTAACAGCATTCCCCATCTTTATAGTTGCTTCAAATTTATACAGCAGCTTCAAATTTATACAGCAGCTTCAAATATAATATAATATCCAAACCTCATTCCTACTCCATAAGTTAGGTTTTAATGCAAACAATTTTAAGAATAAGAATAGAGTTTAAGTGATTTGACCACAGTCAGATAGCTAATAAAAACCTGGCCAGAACCCAGGTCTTAAAGTCAAATCCAATTTTGTAATTCTCTAAACCTTAAATTTAGCTCTCTTTCAAAGGCTTTATTGATCTGGGAAGTGTCCCAAGGACAAAAGAGTCACCCTCAGCTAGGGGCACAAGGGCATTGAGAAAGAAGGTGCATTCAGCACAGGGAGACCAGCACTGAGGCCTCACTTACATAAGGACACTGCATATCTACCACCTTCCACTCGGGAGGATCTGTAAGGTCAAGGGAAATCACAGATGAGATGTGGAAACTTTTAAAAGTGAAGTCACTTAAAAGGCATGGCTTTCAGGACACTAAGATCCCCTGAGTCTCATCACTGGGACTGTGGTGTGTGTGGGACCAGCAATGTATGCAAAACCAACCAAGCAAAAAACCCATCTGGTACCCAAAGTGGGCTGCACATGTCACAAACTATTTTTGGGGGGTGGAAAATAATTCTGCAGTTTTCCCAAGTCCCAGAAAGTGTTCTTTCTCTCTCTTTTTTTTTCTCTCTCTCTCTCAACTCTGTACCAAGCCTCCCACCCCCAATTAAAAAAAAAAACTGTGACTTAAATGCCAAATGATACACAGGAATAGAGCTAAAAATTTCCAGATAGAATACCAGCACGTGCAAAGGCCCTGAGGTGGGAATAAGCTTACCCTGTTGAAAACAAGACAATAAGACTAAGGGAAAGAGTGCTATAAGCTGAGGTTCGAGGGGTAGTCAAGGGCCACAGCAGGAAGGACCTTGGTCACAGTTAAGATGTCTGGATTTTATGCTTGGTAATATGGGAATTCATAGGAGCACAGAGGAGTTACATATCTGATTTGTTTTTAGCAGACGAGTCTGGTCTAATACTGCAGAAAACAAATTAGATAAAATTTACTGGCTTTTCATTAATACCCAAGAGGGGTCATGGCTTAATTGGCATTGAGATGTACACCACTAACACTCTTACAAGAAGCCTCCAGAATGAAAGAAGTACGAAGGATCAGGAGAAAGGAAAGATGACATCCTTTAATGGCAGGATGGCAGACAGCTGGCTCTGATGCCCCCAGATCTATCCCCACAACCTGGAGGCAATTCCCCAAGCCACCAGGCATGTGTCCCTGATGCCCCAATCCTGACCCAAAGGGCTCCTGTGGGAGCTGCAGTGGATAGCCACTTGCCTGAGGGCCCTCATCCTCTGCCCTGGGCAAAACGGCCATTCTCCCAGTTTCTGCACTCCATGTGCTATCTGGGCAACAGCAATGTAAGAAGTGTCAAAGAGAGGATGCTTCCATAAGCCCCTTTCCTTTGTCTGATCCCAGGAAGCCACAACAGGGAAAAAAGAGCCAGTGGGCTCCAGCTTGGGCTTGAAGCTCACATCTTGCCAACATTCTGTTCAAAACTGGCTTGTCCAAGTACTACCAAGCACACCTGAACAGCACAAAAAAGAAAGAGGCCTCTACTTGATGCCTTTCTTCCCTTTTTTAAAACCAAACTCTACTGAATCATTCATCATTGATTTTAGGTATTTTTGAGCTGCATCCAGGAACAACCAACAATACTGTTACACATCACTACCTGATCAAGTCCAAGTGTCTGCTTCTTCTTAGAAGAATCAATAGATTGCCTAAAGAAGCAAAAACTGTCTTGGTATCCTAGCTACAGTTTCACTTAGCAAGTAAACGATATGAACATCACAATCACTTCCACCTGAGGCAACCAATCAAATACCTTCAGCATTTGGGGAGAGAAAAGAAAACCAAGCTGATCCAATCCTATCAGTTCAAGATCAAGACTTGGAAGAGGTAAGAATGAGGAAAAAAGGAAAAATAAAGCAAAATGACTTCGACATGCTTCTAAGGAGCTGGACTTACTTGTTTTTTTCAGAAATGAAGACTTCTGTTCCTCACACCACCTCCCTACCCTCATCCCCAAAATTATGAAATCTTTGATATTTGTGAACTCCAGATAAAAGCATGTAATTATTATTTCAAAGCTGTTTAAATCAAACACACTAACCATTTCTAACATTTAATACTGCTCCCTAAAACTCAGGAATACAGCAAACTGAAAGGGAGATCTGAACTCCTGCAGTTCAATTTAACTTTACTGATGAGGGCTTCACCCAGAGGGTTTTAGGTAGTAGCAGAACCTAGAAGGGAATCTAGGTCTCCTGATTCATATTCACTATCAACTTTTATTAAGTATTTTTATGTGGTAATGTAAAAGTACATGTTAGAAAATACGAACTGGACAGGTCACCCACAATCCCATCATGTTCTTTTTATCACATGCATACTGGTCCCATCATCATTTTATTACAATCATAGTAGACCGATGTTCTTTCTAATACATAGCCCTCCTTAAATTACCATAAACTCAATCAATGATAAAAATATGAACACTGATACGGAATATAATTTGATGTAGCCTGAACTGATTTTATTATGTTTGCTAAAGGCTGGTGACCTCTAAGATAAAATTGTTTCTCTTCTTGAAACAATAAAAATATATAACAGCCCCATACCAGGGCTTGGAATTCAGATCCTTTTCATGGAGTGTTTAAAATAGAGCTCTCTAGAGGCCCTGGCACATAAAAATCAAGCTGCTTAACCTCAGATCAGTCCTATTTACCTACCTGGTGCATCAGGTACTTGAAGAGGAATGAAAGGATCAGAAACGCTCAGAAGTGACACGCCAGAATCCACAGCCTGCCCACCCTTCCTTTTTTCAGCTGGAGTTGGTTGGAGGGGGAAAAAGGGTCAGGAGAGAAAAATGAGAAAAACAGAAAATACCAAGTAAATCCAGATGAATTTACCATCTACTATCCAACATCTCAAATTATAGACTAAGTTCACACTTTGACAGAATAAAGGGGAATGAGTTGAAATAATCCAGTGTAACAAAAAAGAATCTATGACATATACAATGGAGTCCTTGGAACAACTATGAGATGCAATGAATGATCAAACCAGAATATTCCTACAGGAACTATTAGCCATATCATACATTTTGGCACATATACACTAACACATGTGTATATCTACTTCCTGTGTGCTCAGTATCCCTTGGAAATCCTTTAGGGACTACATCTTATTGTACCATCTTAATGTGTCCTTTGGGATTACATAACCTAACCTCTAGACTATATCTAACATACTACTGGCATTCACTCTATATTTGCAATTTCTGTAAGTTACAGATTTTACAGAAATCTACATACTCTTAAGAAATATCAGGGCTTAAAGATATCCTAGAATTTTTCTAGCACAATTTTCTTATTTTTCAGAAGATAAAGTAAAGCAAATTAAGAGACTAGCCAGGTGCTTGCCAGCAGAGCTAGGATCACAACCCAGATCTCCTAAATTTCTACTTTATTATTCTTTACATTGCATTTCAGTATTCAGGTTATTCATTAATTAAAATCTCATCTTGCTTCCTATAAAGTGTGTTTTTTGAAAATGTTTTATTTAAAAGGGTTAGTGCTGTAATTCTAGCACTTAGAAAGTTGAGGCAGGAGGATTTGAGGCTAGCCTGAGCTACATAGCAAGATGCTATCTCGAAAACAAAGTTTTCTTTTAAATAATTACAGAATCACAGGAAGTTGTTGTAGGGAAAGTCCTAGAAAACCTGCATCCATCTTGCCCCAATAAAGACACCTTATGTAGCTGCAGTACAATATCACCGACACTGTGCAATACTGTTACCTAGACTATTTGGGTTTTGCCAGTTTTTACACGTGCCCTCCTACAGATTTGGAATGTCCTCCAAAGGTCTATATGTTGAAGGCTTGGTTCCAGCTTGATGCCTTGACGTGACTGAGGTAGAGGAAACTTTGAGAAGTGGGGCCAAGTGGGAGGTTTTAGGTCATCAGAGATGAATCCTAGAAGTATATGGAATCGTGGGATCATGGGACTCCAGTCTCTCTTTTCTTATCTCTCTTTCTCTCTCTCCTCCTCTCCTTTTCCCTCCCCCTCACACACACTCCCACCACAACCACAGGCCCATGGGTAGGAGGACCCAATCCTGCAGCCCTATGCTGAGGTCAGCCTCTGCTCTCTTCTGCCTCATGCCATCCTATTCACAAGGGCCTCCTGTCAGACCTCTGACTGTCTATTTCTCTGGATGTCTCTATCCTTCTCAATGCCCCCTCAAGTTCTTCTTAGCCTGCATGGTGCTGGGTTAAATTTGGGAGTCCTGAGGCCCAGCACCCACTCTATTAGCACCCTTGGCCTGGGTTGTCAGATATGGGACAGTTCTCTTCACCTGAGCCTTAGTGTGCAGTTTATGAAATGGGCTTCTAGAGGAGTCAAGGTGCTGGCCCCAAGTAGGCATTTACTGAAGGCGTCTCTACAGGCATCTGGTTCTGATTTAATTGCCCCCTTCTCTCTGATTGCCTGTCTCATACTCTTGCTCTCTATCTTTCTCTCTAGCTGTGTCTCTGATATGAGACTCCCCTGGGGACTAGATGACAGCTGTGAGGAAAAGGGTGGTTTTTTTACCCCCAAATCTTGTCTCTTCTAGTCAGCAGGCTGACTGGCCTCTTTCTCTCCAGCTCTCTGCAAACCCAGTTTTTGGTGTCCCAGTTGTTTTGTCCCCCTCTCCCTGGTACCCTGTTTCCCTTAGACAGATTCTACTTCTGTTATAGCAGCCACCTCTGCCATTCCCTATGCCACCTTCTCAGAGCCAACAAGATTCAGTTTGAGGCATACAAAAATGCAAAAGGCATAGGTAGGATCACTGGATAAACTGGCAACCTTCTCAGTTTCTGGTCTGGCTGCCTCCCTCATACCATGCTACTTCTACTCTAAAGACCACCAGGAAATCAGTGCCCCAAGTCCAGTTACAGAGGCAGTGGTATCAGGGACCCTCTGCAGGCACACAGGAGCTCCCCATTCCATGATCACCCAGATGTGCAGGAGACAGCAGCAACAAGGAAAGTCAGGAGGTGCAGATGCCCAGATGTGACAGAGGAGAAGGGAAGGGCAGCCCCACCCAGACAGCCTGGCTGAGGGAAGGGTAGCAAGGGTGCAGCACTCTAGGGGCACTTTGAGTCTACCTGCTCACCATTCCCTCCCCACTGGCACAGCCATGCCCCATCTAGTGCAACCACCTCAGGGTGTCAGCAGCTGCCAGCACACCCAGCTCAGTGACTGGCACACCAGTCACAATGAGTATTCCCCCCTCCAGGGCTGCCCTGGGAAGAGGGGAGTGGAGGGAAGCTCACCTCTGACCACTTGGGACACCCCAATTCCTCCTCCCTTACTGGGATTCCACCTTCCTACCTTCTGACCCTCACCACTTCCTCAGAGACCCACCATCTCCTATGATTCTGAATGTTCTTCTAATACTTAAACTCCCCTCAGACGCTCAACTTCCCCTTGCACCTTCAACTTTCCCCATTGTGGCCCCCTTCACTCCTCCTCACACACTATTTTGCAATCTCTGAACCAATCCCTCCTTGGAGCCCAGTGCCCTCTGACCATGACTTCACTTCGTCCACATGTTGTGGATGGTCCTTTGGTGTATGCACTGATTATTCTGAGCAGTACACCATCAGGACAGAACTGTATACCAAGGGAAGAGCTCCCATGTGCCTTCTTCCTGTTACTGTCCCTTCAAACCACTCTTCTGCTCTCAGTATCTGCAGCTGAATTTTTACAGTGGGTTTTAAACAGGTTCTTCTGTAGATAGAAGGAGGAACAGAGGGGTTAAGTCTGAAATGTTTTAAAATGAGACATAACGAAACATGTCTGAAAGAGAAAAACAAATTACAAAAGAATATATAGTACTGATCTTTTATGAAAAAGTATGCATGTAGAAATAAAATCCTACATACAAATACTGTACACTGTCAGCAAATGTTTTTCTCTTGGAGTGGGGCTGTAAGTTCTTTTTATTTGCTTCTTTGGGTTTTTATCCATTTCCCAAAATCTTTACAAGTAAGGATGTATAATTTATTTTAAATAGACACAATGTCAAATTTTAAACATTTTACCTGTTCCACCTCCAACATATAGGTACAGCACACCAACATTTTGTAACTTTTGCCAGAAAAATGTTTAAAATCCCCCTGTGCAACCCTCCCTAACCCATTACCAAATTTCTTGCTTAGCTGCTTCTCCTTTGGATTGATTTTAAACTTTGTCAGAACATGGGGCCATCACATAGGCAAGGGAAAACGAGTTTGGGATCTAGATTTACTTTTCATTAGTAAAGAATGAAGGTGTTACAGAAAAATAAATGCTCAAACCTACAAATAAGAAAGAAGGGAAGCAGGGTGCAGTAGCTTCACACCTGTAATCCCAGGATTTAGGAGGTAGAAATCAGGATCATAGTTCAAGGCCAGCCTTGGCAAAAACTTAGTGAGACCCTATTTCAACCAATAAAGTGGGTGTGATGGCACGTGCCTGTCATCCCAGCAACTCGGGAGGCCATAAGGTAGGCAGATCATGGTCAAAACCATGAGACCCTACCTGAAAAAGTAATTAAAAGCAAAAACACTGAAAGGCATAGCTCAAGTGGCAGAATCCATGCCTAGCAAGCATACGGCTCTGAATTCAAACCCCAGTACCGCCAAGAACTGAATACTGGCGAAAAGTTATAGTTTCTATTCATTTGTCAACTACACTGAGCTATATGGTGCTAAATGCTGAGATGCAGCAGAAAAGAAGTCTTTCCCAAGGAGACTCAACCCACCCAGGGCCATGGCTGCAATCACTCTACTGTTCCAGCTCAAGGACAAGGTTGGTGCTTTCCACATTTGCTACATCTGCCTAACCAAGCCACACATCAAACATTAAGCACCCTGAACTGCCCTTGGAGTATTTTTAAACTGCATCAAAAATTTAAAAGTCACACAGAGAAGATTGAGGTTGATGGTATATGGTTGATGGACTTCGTGTACCCATGTGGAGCAGAACTAAGAAACCTCTTGCAATTGCTTTGAGTGGGGTGGGGAGGGGGTGAAGGGGGAGAGATGATGGGGGCGATGTAAATAATGTACAATATAAATCTGATCAGAACTGTCACTAGGAATCCTCCCCATATAATGAATATATTCTAATAAAAATTTATAATAAAAAAATTCACACAGAGCAGACAAAAAAGCTAAAAGGAAAAAATAACAAAATAGTTTAATTACTCAATATTACAAAGCATAGCTCAACTCCAAAATAACAACAATGGGAATACTCTATGAACACTTAAGAGAAATAGTTAAAACCCCACAAAATTCCTGTTCTTTCTTACCAGGGAAACACACACCCATGAGGAGGCACTCTCAATAAATAGCATAATTAATTCTCACAGGCTGAGATGGGGAACTGGAGGGAGAAGGAGGAAGGAGGACAGAGGAACCCTGGCATGTGGAGAACTTTCTTAGAGACAACTAGTCTCTCTCCCCACAGCCACGCCAACCAAAAGTGACTATTTTATTGAGAGAAAAACTCATAACCTTAAATTTTTATTTTTTAAAAAAGAATTTTTAAAAACTTTACTATGTATTCTCTTTATGTTGCCAAAGCAAAACCAAGAAAAGTGGGAAAAGGTACTCAAAAGATAAAGGCAAAATTTAAAGAATAAGAAAGTTTTTGTAAATGTAAGAGTTTAAAAAAAGATAACAAAATAGCAAGCGTCTGGTTAGAATTACCAAGAAAAACACAATCCATTCAACTAAAACTGATATATACAAAGAAAATGTTATAAAAGATTAACATGTAAAGTTCTATCTTAATTTTAAAATCTTAAAACTGCAAATGGGGGCTGCTAGAGTGGCTCAAGTGGTACAGCGACTGCCTTGTGGGCATGAGGTCCTGAGTTCAAACCCCAGGACCACCACCAACAACAAAACAACAACCGGTGGCTCACACCTATAATCCTAGCTACTCAGGAGGCAGAGATCAGGAGGATCTCAGTTCGAAGCCAGCCCAGGCAAATAGTTCACGAGACCTATCTCGAAAAACCCTTCACAAAAATAGGACTGGTGGAGTGGTTCAAGGTGAAGGCCCTGAGTTCAAGCCCCAGAAAAAAACAGCAACAACAACAAAAAAAAACCCTGCAGATGATTTCCTAGGAAAAACAGTTACTAAATTTTCCTCATTAAAAGGCAGAAAACCTAAGAGAAATGACTTTGAAGCCAGAAAGTCAATGTCCCAGTGCTGCCACCTGCTAGCACATAACTCTGGGAAAGAGGCTATCTGTGCCAGAGTCCCCTGAGTTGTGGCAGTTGGGGATAGTATACCAACCTCAAAAGTTGTTGAGAAGGTCATATAAGAGCACCCTCAGAGGGAGAAATGTTTATAATACACTAGATAAGAGGAGAGCCTAAGCCAGGCGTGGTGACTCACGCCTCTACTACCAGCTACTTGGGAGGATCACTGTTCAATACCAGCCCAGGCAAAAAGTTAGTGAGACCCAATATTAACAAATAAGCCAAGCACAGTGGTGAACATCTGTAATCCCAGCTACATGGGAGGTTTTGGTTGGAAGCCTGCTCCAGGCAAATATGTGAGATCCTATCCTAAAAACCTATTAAAAAAAAAAAAAGAGTTCTTACAAATTAATAAGAAAAAAATAAACACAGAGCACTAAAAAAGACAAATCCCACCAACAAATAAAAATGGCTAGTAAACAATGTTCTTTGTCTAAAGCCTCTAGGCAGGGCTAGGTGAGACAATAGTGGGGAAAATCATTCTCATTCATGGTTGGTTTTTGGCAGTACTGGGGTTTGAACTTGGGCCACGCCCCCCTGGCCCTTTTTGCTTTAGTTAGTTTTCAAATAGGGTCTTGCATTTATTCCTGAGACGGCCTGGACTGTGACCCTCGTAATTATGCTTCCAACACAGCTGGAATAACAGGTGTGTGCCACCACACCCAAGTTTTTTGTTTGGCTTTGTTTTTTACTCCCAGCTTTCTATTGGTTGGGATATGGTCTCATGAACTTTTTGCCTGGCTGACCTCAAACCACAATATTCCCAATCTCTGCCTCCCAAGTAGCTAGGATTATAGGCATGAGCCACCATGTCTGGTTCATTCACTGTTGACCAAAAGAAAATTTGTATAGCCTTGTCAGAGAGCAATTTGGAAATACATATCAAAACCTTAAGTGTATCTCTTTACCAGCATATAATCTCATAGAAGTTATTTTCAAAAAATTATAAAAACAAATATAAAAATTAACCTTCAAGCCAGGTATGGTAATGCATGCCTGTAATTCAAGTTACCTGGGAGGTGGACATAGGAGAATTGTGGGCTTAAGGCCAACCCAGGCAAAGTTAGCAAGACCCTATCTTAAAACAAAATGACCAGGGCATGGCTCAAGTGGTAAAGCATTTGCCCAGCATGAGTGAGCCCCTGGGTTTAATCCTCAGTACTACAAAAAAAAGTTTAGCTTTAAGAATGTTTATATGTAAAAAGTTGGTAACAACTTAATATTCAGAAAAGGGGATGTTCAATAAATATTACTACTCTTCCACTTAAATCATATTATATATTAATGTTTATTGACATGGAAAGCTATAAAGTTCCATAGAATATTGATAAAACGACTAACAAACTGGGCACAGACAACCCTTCAGTAAAACCTTACAGCATATTGGTCACAATGCAGTACCTCTTTTTAAAAGAAGAAATAGAAACTTTAACTTTAAAACAGCCAGAAAACCGTAAGAGAAAGAGAGCACTACACATTATATACTGTTCCACAGCAACCAAAGTTCTAATCAGAAATAAACATATGAGGTTAGGAAAACTAAGCATGTGTAATTTTACATCCTATAAAAACATATTCATAAATTCACATCCCTTACTTAAGCATTTACAATAGAAAAACAAGGAAATCAAGGTATGTGGTTAAATACATTAGTATCTATCCACATATAGGAATTTAATGCACATATTTTAAAAACTGTGTTTTAAGAGCTTCTTTAAGATAAAGGGGAAATGTGCCAGATTTCTTAAGTAAAAAAAAAAAAATCAGGCTTTAAAATATAAAGCTGACTATAAAGATGCACATCAGAGTCTTATGCTGAGGCTTACAGTTGTACAAAATTGAGGCCCCCGTATACTTGGGTGAGGAAGATCTATAACTTTCAAAAGATTACTAAGATACCTGTGACCCTAAAAAGGTTACATGCTCAACAGACACTGAGATGATACTCCTGTGCTAGCTCTTAGTGATGAGATCATGGGAGACTAACTTTCTTCTCTATAAATTGCTAGCTTTTATATAATAAATACATATAATTTTTATAAATAAAAGGAAAGAAGTCTCATTATTACTTCTATAACTTAACAAAACTCACTAAAGCACAAATACAGCTTAGTAGAATATCAGATATCAGAAAGAACATCTAATTCTTAGAATTCTTCAATCCATCCTAAAGAACCTAAGCAATGGCAAGAGATTACCAGAGTGATACTCCTTAAATTCAGAAACATTTGCTTAAGACATCTCCTGAATTAAGAGGAATAAGGCCTGCACATTACCGCCAGATCATTCAACAGCCTTAACTCAAAGTAGTTCCAGATCATCCTCTATCCCTTTTTGATTGTGGACTGCTTCTGAATGAAGAAAAATATCAGTTATTGCTGGGATCTGGGGTCCACTGGCATGCTAGAGGTATTTGCAGAGAAGAAAATGTGCAAAGGAGACAACAGTGAGCTTTGTGTCTCAGATGTGCCATACTCACCAGTTCCAGTAGAAAATGAGGAAGTGGCAAAGGCATCACCTTGGGCTGACTGGAAGCCTGGGATCAAACTCTCTGCTGAGCCACCAAGCTTTTCAGGATGTTTGCCTGGAGGGACAAAACATCACTTGGTTCATTTTATCAGAGTCCCATGATGCATTCACACGTAGAGTAGGTGAAGGGCACCCTCTGCCTTCTAGACCTGACTCGTTTTATGGCATTATGGCAACATCTTGGCTACTCAAAGGCCCTTGTCTAATCATTGAAATAACTAGGAAAAGGAAGGAAGTTGTCACTTAACAATGGTTGAAATGGAAAAATTATGCTATGTGTATCTTACCACAATTAAAATTTTTTAAGTAAACAAATTTAAAAAAAAAAAGAAGAAGAAAACAGAGAACATAGGGCTAAAGTCCTAAAGCTTAAGCATACTCCTCCAGGCAGAATGCCTCCAATCCTCACTTGGAATCTAGTTATAACTCCCATGTGTTCATGACCTGCTTTCCATGTTAGAAACCGTTTAGGAACTGAGAAGAGGGAGTGGTGGGAAAGGCAATAGTGAGATGCTAGTAAGGACAAGTATAACGACAGCACCCATATGTGAAAGGTGACAATTAAACGAGGACAGATAGAGAAGATATCAAAAATAGACAGAAGAATTATTTTAAAAAAAAACTCAGGAGCTAGTTAAGTAGGCACAAAGATCCAACAGTTTTCAATAAATCATGAAGGTATTTCTGTTTTACAATCCAGAACAATAACTGGCACAAATAACAATGAAAATGAACTGTCAAAGAAAGTGAAACCCCATGTCCTATCTTCTATTTACAAAAGCACAAAAGTAATGTAGGTTTTCAAAACACTGCCATTGATGGGCACCAGTGGCTCACACCTATAATTCTAGCTACTCGGGAGTCATTGCAGTCCTCAGGAGATCAGGAGGATTGCAGTTCTAAGCCAATCCAAGCAAATAGCTCGCAAGACCGTACCTCAAAAACACCCTACAAAATGACCCAAGCCTTGTATGCACATATGAATAATAAAAGAAAAAAAAAAAACCACCCTACACACACACACACACACACACACACACACACATAAAGGCTAGCACTGTGGCTCAAGTGGAAACCCTGAGTTCAAACCCTCGTATCACCAAAAAAAAAAAAAAAATTGCTAAAAAAAAAAAAACTTAAAGCTAAATTGTTTGGTAAACAGTTCACGTCACTCACTTGGCTCTGATCATTGCTTTACCCGGCACACTTGTGCACAAAGAGGACAATCTTTCCCAACTGCAAAAGATTTCCTTTTTTTTTGTTTTTTTTTTTTTTTTGCACTATTAGGGTTTGAACTCAGGGCCTTACACTTGCTAGGCAGGTGCTATACCACTTGAGCTATTCTACCAGCCTGAGGATTTTCTATTATTCCAAAGTATATGTGTGTGTCCTGCCTTCTAAATTAGAATATGAAAAATGTTTTTGGCAGAATTTTATCTTTTCTTTCTTTCCTTTTTTTCTTTTTTTGTGGTACTCTGGGGCTTGAACTCAGGGGCTTCACCTTGAGCCACTCCACCAGTCCTATTTTTGTAAAGGGTTTTTTGAGATAGGGTCTCTCAAACTACTTGCCCAGACTGGCTTCAGAGATCCTCCTGATCTCTGCCTCCTGAGTAGCTAGGATCACAGGTGTGAGCCACCAGTGTCCACCATTATCTTTTATTTCTAAAACCTCCTTTCTGTGGTCAGCCCATAATGACGGAACTGTGATCACAGTGAAGGCACACTCTCATGGACAAGCAGTCACTACTTTCCGGGACAATAATACCACTTATGAGGAGGAGGACTACCACCACCTTTCAAGGAGTAAAGATGCTTGATGCCAATGTCCTGACTTATGCTCGAGTCTTTCCTAGAAGTTTCTTCCCTAATGTTCACATACTTCTTGCTGCCTCCTATAATAGGTTAGGATTTCCTGAAGATGAGAAGACTTTAGTGTTTTGATAAAATAAAAGTCAAAATCAAGCCTTTGAAGGACAGGCCCAAGTCAACATCTTCACAAGCACATCCCTCTAAAGCTAACTCCTGCTTATTTCTCAGCACAGATAATTTATAACCAAGAATCACAAAAAATTAACTTCCTCACCTTCCCCCAGCTTGGCAAAGTCCTTGTTTAGGAGTTCTTCGGCTGTGAGTTTGGAGAAATTGTCATCATCAAAGGGATTCCATGTAGAACCTTCTGAAGGATTATAGACATTTTGTTGGGAGGTCCGAGGAGAACCTGATGGGGTGGTGGTTGCAGACCTAGGTAGGTTCCCACCCCCATGAAATAAAATAACATATAAAAGTTGAAAAATCAAAAATGCTCAAACTATTTTCTCTTTGTTCTAGGATCGAATTCTTCTCTGAGTCAAACTATCATTTTTAGTAGTGTTTTCCACAGCAACTGACAGTTTCCACTCCGTGGAATGAATGCCTCCTCACCTTGAGGACTCACTAGGTCTCACTACTTACTTAATCTCTTGTTTAGTTTTCCAGTCTTGCCTGCAAGGTCTTTCTGTTTAGAATCTGAAAGCAGTCCCCAGAGTTATATATCCTGTGGAGACCACCATAACATCTACCACAACCATCTCCTGCAGAAGCTGGGACAGAGGCCTATTTAGACTGCCTCCCATCTTTTAGAATCTACTTTTAATATGCAAATTGCTAAAAGCCAATATCACAGGCACGTGCCTAACACACCTGAGGCCCTGAGCTCCATCCCCAAAACAGACACACACCACCACAACTGAAGAGAAATAAAAACACATACCACTACTTTGAGTGTCTAGGTATCACCTAATTTTCTTTCAGTCTCTCTTGATGTTTAAGATTTTTAACTTTACAGTGCACAGTTCCAAGAAAGCCAATGGTCTAAAATTGCATTTATTCAACTCATCAAAATTGACTTTACAGCAGGCACATAACTAGTCATGAGTTTACCAAGATTGGCTAAGACATGATTGTTGTCTTGGAGAACTCACAGGCCAGGTGAGACAAACATACAAATAATTAATGACAAAACAATGTGTTACATGCTCAATAAAAGGCGCAGACAAAATGTTGTATCAGAGGATCAGGGTAATTCCTGACATGGAATTTGAAGAATAAATGTGCATCTCCTAGGAGACAAGAAGGAAAGCAGCAGTTCCTAGATGCCCAGGATGAGCCAAGGCTCACAAAGGTGGAGAATAGTGGGTCCATTCACATGTACAAAAGGCCTTGCTGAGGTAACCTGTGGGTTCAGATAGCAGCCTACAGGCAGTGGGGGCCAATGAAAGATTTTCAGCATGAAATGGTTAAAAGAATAGCAACAGTGGGCCAACTTGGAAATTATTTCTTTTGATCAGTACAGCACATGAATTTCAGTCAAGTTAATGGTTTCATATTAAACACACACATGCACTACTACATATACATCTATACACATCCATGAACTTATGCGAAGAATAACACAGTACAGCCCAGGGCAGACCTTCCCACAAGGTAAGAAGAACAAAAAGGAACTAATACATACTTGGACTTATTGAGACTGGCCTCAGCTGCAGCTGCCTGGAGCAGCTGGGTTGATTTGCTGGCAGGGACCCCAAAGACTGCACTGTGGGTTACATCACTGAGAATCCGCCTGTGTCCAGTACGCTGGGTTTTGGGGGATGATGGAGGAGTGAGAGATCCAACTTTCTGCCCCTGGAGGGTAGGAGGTGGGGTTGTCTGAACCTTTGGCTGTTGTCTTACTGGGGCTTGAATCTGCTGGGGAGAGAGATGCAAAGTGTTTCATTACAGAAAAAAAAAAAAAAGGTGGAGGAAAAGGAAAAAGGGGTAACAAATAACTAAGCATGACAAATAATGCCACATGAGAGCTAACACAGGACTAAAATGGCTAAGTTTATCAAAAACACCCAAAAAGGAAAAAAAAAAAAAAAAGCCTTCAACAATCTGAGCTGCAACTTTTAATACTGATTAACAACATGGTATTTGCCTAGTACTAACACAAATTCAATCTTCATCGACAGTAATATACAGGGCAACTATATGTAATTCAGCCTAGAACATAAGACTGCAGAAGCTATTCCTAGCTGTAAACCTGTAATGTATCTTAAAGGACCTTGTTCTATTCTGGGCTTGGAAAGCAACTCCTTCAGAATGCTTCCACAGGGCACAGTTAGAAGCTAAAGAAGATACATGTCCAGCTAAAATGCACTTAAGCTAAATGATTTCTACTAAAAGGTCTCTGACACTCTGCCATAGCTGAGGCTTCCAGTCAGGAATGAGTCAGTCAGATTTCTACTGTGAGTGTAGAATGAGAGTACTTTTATTGTTTTGTTAATAAGGTTCTTCATTTCATTGATGGGGTGGATGCACCAAATCCTATTTCTGTAGCAACCCCCGAGAAAATGTACAGAATTGTTTTAGTGGAATTCCATTGTTCCAACCTTCAGTTCAGAAATGGCATTGAAGAACCAATGAAAAATATAAAACGTAATGAAAAAAATTCATAATGACAACTCAGTAATAAATAACACAAGGACTCTTGAGACATGGGTCATTTTCAAAATAAGGGTCAAACTGCCACCACAGAACAATAAACAGGTGGGAACGTCCCTGTGACCACATGAGTGGGTCTTACACATCAGCCACCTTTATCAAGGAAAATGAACAAAAAAATGTTCAGACAGCCCCCTAATTCCTTTCCTTCCTTTCCTTAATTCTGTCAATCTAGAGATAAAAATGACTTAGGGTGTTCAATGCCCCAGGGGATTTAATTATGTCTTTCCTCCAGTCTCTCCTCTCAGATTAGAGCTGCCTCTCCACTAAGTGCCTCAGCTTTCACATTCTGTGTCTGAAGGAAGGTTTTGAGAGAGTTTAGAAATCCAGAGTATCAGGCTATTTGACTCAGGATGCTTATAGATGGGCTACTGACTATCCTCATATTGTCCTAAGGACTTGGAACACTTCCTGAGGCAGACCCTGTACCAGTATACCAATGACTTGGAACACTTCCTGAGGCAGACCCTGTGCCAGTATACCAATCACTTTACCAATAAGCTGAATGATACAATCTAAGTTTCTATTATCAATCAAACTAACATGTGAAGGGTAACACAGTCACCCCACTGGGGGAGAAGCAGAGTGCTCTGTGAAGGCCAGAGCTCCAGCTCCATAACTTAAAACAGCCAGCTGAATGCCAGCATTCTCAGGAGCCAGAGGGCTTTGAATGGGTTATTTCATAAGACATTCACTACTATGAAAAGGGTGTGTCACTCTTGAGTCCCTTTATGATGAAGACTCCATACTACTTGGAGAACATTTTTCTTCCTTTTACCTATTTTCCATATGTAGCAGGCTGAAGAACAGATACTTGTATTTGGGAGGATAGCTTACTTTTTTTTAAAGTGCTGGAGACTGAACCCAAGGCCTCCTCCATGCCAGGTAAGCCCTCAACCACTGAACTACATCCTTGATCCAACAACAGGTTGAACATCTCTGACCCAAAACTCTGAAATCTCAAATGCTTCAAAATCTGGACACTTTTGTGCACCAACATGATGCCATGTGTGGAAAAATTTCATCTCTGACTTCACGTGACAAGGTGCAGTCAAACAGGTGCAACTAAAAATGTATGCAGTTACCTTCAGGTTATATGTATAAGACTTACATGAACATGAATTTTGTGTTCAGACTTGGGTTCCATCCCCAAGATATCTCATGCATACACAAATATTCCAAAATCTGAAACAATTTTTAGGCCTAATCATTTGGGACAAGAACATTCAACATGTAATACAAAGCAGCTGCCAACCTGCTCAAGCAAGTAGTTTATAAATACTTAGAATCAAAGAAAGTGAGCTGAAAGGAACCTCAGAGAACAGATGCCCTCACTTTAGGGGAGAGGGTACCACAGTCCACTGAGGCTAAGCGGTCACCCAAGGTCACAAGGTGACCTGGAGGTAAAATCCATGACTCCTTACTATGGCTCAGTGTTCTGCTGTACCACTATGCTTCCTCATCGAAAGATAGGACAACTGTCTTTAGAGAGGGGGACAAAGGAGAGACAGACCACAGGTGAAACAAAAAAAGGTAGACTCCAATGACTATCTTGCTGAGTACTTTTTAAAATGTAAAATATGAAACTATAAAAGGAATATAATCATATCAAGAAATGTAAGACTATAGACAAAAGTGTTCTATTGCACCACTCTAATACTATTCTTGAGGTACCTTAAATGTAAGTCTCTTTTCTGGCACATTTTCTAATTTCACTATTCTTGAGCATTTTAGTGCAGACTTTATAATCAAAATTTTTAATGGCTGTACAGTTACGTTCCTGAACAGTCTAGGTTGCTTCCATTCTTCGGGCTATAATTAATAAGACTTCAATGAACATCTAGGATATATGGCCACTTCCCCTTGCTGAATATTGTTTTAAGATGGTTGTAGGATATCCTTTCCATTCACTCACTTGCTTCTATAGACAAGCCCTGCTACAAGTGAGAGAGATGGGGGTGAGTCAAAGCTGGGCAGCTCTATGGCTCCTGGCTGAAGCACAATCTTCTCCTAGATCTTGCATCCCCTAAATCAACTATCTCAGAGCAGTGTTCCAAGTATTTTTTCACCTAGGGAACATGAAGATGGTTTGTAATTCATTCCCAAGACAGTGCACACTTTGACTACACTTCTTTGTAGTCAGTAGTAGTTGGTCATTTCATCACCCTTGATGAGCATTTGTTATTATCCCTAAACCAACACCAGGATTCTTTGATACTTGTTGCATCTCTGCTACTGTCATTTGGTGCATCTTGGGTAATCACTTTCTAGTCCAGGCCTCAGTTTCCAATTCTATAAAATTAGGAGACTGAACTGGATAATTAAGATCCCTTCTAGATACATCATATATTTTTAAACTCTTTCTCCATTAACAAGAACATTATCTCTTGTCAAAAATACAAAGAGTAACTGTCTACCACATGCCTGCAGGAAAACTGAGTTGTTTCAGAAACAAAGGTGTAAAGACACTGAACATACATTTAGCTGACACTGAAAGAAGACACTCTAATTACTGCTTCCTTTCGAAGGGATGGAGGTTTTCTGGTTTAAGATGGGCAACAAAACTCTACTAGAAATCAATCCTCAGAAAGATGGTTTCTTACTTTTCTTTCATTCATATAGAAGCTGGACTTCCCTGGGAATAAGAGAGTAACTGTGACACTCTATCTACTAGGTATGCAAAATGCCTTCTATCACTATAAAATTTTCTATCACTATCATTTAGAAAACTCTTAGTACAGAGCACAGGTCACTCATTAAAGATCAAAGCAAGAGTGCCTGAGTTTGCTGAAACTGTAGAGGTTGATCAGGAGAAGGGTCTGATGCTATATTTTGCCAACATCTAAAAGTGGATTCGCCTAATTTCTAAACTGACAGGATAGTTCCAATGACTAGATATGCAGATTTTCTTGGGCCCAGAGGGGTTATGTCATGGTAAATGGTCCCAGGCAAGCAGGCCTTTGAAGGGTGCTGCATGGCAGACTCAAGTGATGTGGCTAGTAAGGTCATTCACGACAAAGAATAAACACAACACTGTCAGGACTCAGGGTGAAGGTGGAAGCCCTCAAAAACCTCTACAGACTGGAAAGTGCACAAAGGACCAAACTGATCTGTGAAGAAGGGAAAGGGATTAGCTCTAATCCTAGGTCCTTGACTGCTCAATAGTGGCAGTGACAGAGGCAACGAACAGCTTTTCTGCCAGTCTAATTTCAAGTGATAAATAAGAAGGTTCTTCCTCATCAGTAGCCTAAAAACATTAAAAAAAAAAAAAATCCGCCTTCTTCAGAATACCCTACACTATTCTTGTATGTATCAAGAAAAGACAGAATATTTTAACCAGTAGGGTTGGAAAGCAACCTACCCCTAATTCAAAGGCCTGTCACAGCTGCTGCCACCTTCTTCCTATCCTCTACCTTGCCTCACTGCTTTCTTCTCTTCTGCCTTTGCACTGAGTCTTGGCTGATTCTTACCATGGGCTCCTGGGCAGGGGCCGGTTGTGCAGCTGCAGCTGGCTGTGATTGGGGCTGCGGTGCCACCACAGCGGTCTTCTGCTGCAGGGCCGCCTGCTGAGTCATCAACTGCTGGGGATGCAGCGCTGTGGTCAGTTGCTGCTGCTGCTGCTGCTGGTAGAAGTTCTGTATCAGCTGCTGTTGAGAGCCTCCCTGGGTTGCCACAGGGAACTGAGAGATCGCTGGCTGCGGGGTTGCTGGGTGTACTGTCTGAAACTGAGCAGGAAAGAGCAGCAAGAAGTGAGGAGGTGATAAGAGCCTGCACAGTACCACATTCACAAAAGACAGATGTCTCAGCAACTACAAAGACCAGTGCTGAAACCAAAGGAAAGAGAAGGCAGGCGTCTTTTTAGCTAGGCCTGAGCACTTATGACAGGAATCTCAGGGCATTAAAATGAACCCAGAAGCACCTTATACTGCTATGCCTTAACCACTATACTAAACTGGCCTTCCTTCTTTCCTTTCTTTTCTTCCTCTCTTTCCTTCCTTTCTTTCCTTTTCTTCCTTCCTTCTTTTCCTTCCTCTCCTTCCTTCCTTCCTTCTTTCCTCTCTCCTTCCCTCCCTCCCTCCCTCCTTCCTTAAGAATAACTTAAATGTTAACTCAGCTACTAAGACTCACTTCAAGCCTTTTTAAAGATTATTTCCCAACAGCTCTGTTTTTATGAAACTCTGTCATCTTTAACCATTTAAAATATTCAGTATATCCTATAACAATTTTTTCCTGAGATAAGGATGTCACTATGTTGCCAATGCTAGTCTCAAACTTGTGGGCTCAAGCAGTCCTCCTACCTCAAGCCTTGCAGGTAGCTGAGACTACATATGCACTCTACACCCAGCTTATGACACTTCTGGGTGTCTTTCTAATCCCCACGACTGGGGACTGTATGCTAGATGCACAACAAAGCTCAAAATAAGGGCCTGCTAATAAACAAAAGTCAAGATCTTGTCTTAGAAAAACTCAAATTCTGTTATTTATAGAGTCAATTGGTAGGCTACTGATAATTTATTAGGGTAAAGTTAAAGGATTAGCCAAAAAAAGTAGGTATTAAAATATAGCTACTTGTTTAAAACAGCAGTATGCTGGAAATAACCCAAATTTCTGAGATGGACTATGGTATGTCCTGAAGGGTATCAAATGGTCACCCTCAAACAAGAGGGAGACCTATCTCTAAGGATTAAATGAAACAGAATTTTATAGATTTAACTTTTAAACTATATAAATGTTTTACATATTCATAAAACAAAATTTAAAAAGCAATAACTAAGAAAGCAAAAGCATAAATCTATGCATCAAACTGGTGGCTAAACTCCCCAGAAATAATGTGCTAAAAATATTCTACAGGAAAAAGGTCAAAGAAATCCTAAATTGTTTTTCAGTAATCATATTGGTATTATCATCCTGAAATATAAGCTAACTATATTAATGCAATTAGGAATCCAGACTTTCAGATGAGAAAAACACAACAAAATCCAAGAAGTTAAACAAAAATTCTGTAATTACAAACCTGAACTAGGAATATAAATCTGAATTCACAATGTATATGTTCTAACAAAACACATTTTCTAACTGTCCACTGAAAAAGTCTAGAAACAATTACCAACCCACTGACAAGTAAGTATCTCCAGTACCAAACTATGATTTCTAAATATCATTTCAATTAAAAATAAACAGCTCCTTAGAGAAACAGATAATTCCAGGGTGAGGACAGGATGATCCTGGAACAGCTCGTCACTGCTGACTGCAAGGAAATCATTAAAGACTGTTGAAATTACATCCAAGGGACCCAGAAGGCAATTTGGAGGGATTTCCAGTGACTACAGTTAGGACAATTTGAGCAACAAAATAAATTTATAGAAACTGTGATATATTAAAAGACACCAAATGTTAAAATCCACAAATTCATAATGATATAAAACAAAACCTCATTGTCACCTTCAGATGATACAGTGAACAAATTCATTATTCTGAAAAGTGGTAAACAAAGGGAAAATATCAAGCATTTTCTTGCCTTTTTCTGTACAAGCAGTATTTCAACTTACCCAAATAGTTGATGACAAAATTTTCATAGAAAAATTCCAGCCCCTGAATGAACAGAGATAACTAGAATACCATTTTTCCATTCCTAGTGAATGAATGGACTGGGAAATGCTCAGCAATGACTGCTAAATTAATGAGGCAGACAAGACAGACCATACCTAAAAACAATGAATGGTCTTGATGTCAATAAAAGGGAGGACAAGCAGACATGACAGACCTTTTGCTGTGATAAAGCAGGAAGGACAAAGGACTGCCAGACTGAATTGAATACTGAAAGGCCTCATGAAATTACCAATTTACAGAGAGAATGCAGGAACAAGCCAAAGGACACCATGGGGCAATTAAGCCAAATCAGGAATGTGGAAAATTCCACAGAACAAATATACAGCTTCTTCAAAACAAATAGATGGTAAAAGGGACAAAAACAGGGAGAGGGAAGGATGGAGGTGTGGCTCAAGTGGCAGAGCACTTGCTTAGCAAGTTCAAACCCCAGTATCGCCCCCAAAAAGGGAAAGGGAACCTATGGAAAAAAGGGATGTAAAGATATACTGATCATTATAAAATGATTGCATTCATAGTAAAAAATGTGCAAATATATGAAAAGATAATGGAAAAACAACATATTCTAACTAAATACAATGTGCATACCTTGTTTGGATCCCGATCCACATAAGCCAAGTTAAATTATGAGGCTTCAGAAATAATTTAAGCACTTGGATATTTGATACTAATTATTGTCATTTCCCCCCAGCATATACTTAGAAAGCAGCTCCTTCAATGAAGTTCTTCAAGCACGGGATGACTTCTCCGTGGCCTGAGAACACTGAAAGGGGTGTGAGTTACCAATGCACTTCTCAATGCCTTCGAATCAACATCCATGAGAAACAATGAGGTAATGGTTAGTGGCTTTGTCATCCCAGCACTTCCCAAGGAAGATACCTATTGCTAGCGGGCCTTTTCACAGTCTTGATTCAACTATGCAAACAAGGGCCACACCTGGACCACCTTACCTGCTGAGTTTGGGCCTGCTGTGGATGCTGCTGCTGCTGCTGTTGCTGTTGCTGCTGGAAAAATGTGCCTGCTGGCTGCTGTGGTGGTGGCTGCTGCTGCGGCTGAGGCTGCTGCTGCTGCTGCTGTTGTTGCTGCTTGAGGAAGAGCTGCTGCTGGTGCTGGGGTGTGGCCTGGGCCTGAGTAGGCAGACCCTGGGCCTGGGTGGAAGGCATCTGCTGTGGGGTGGGTGGAGCTTGTGGCTGCTTGGGCTGAGTTTGTGGCAAAGGCTGACTGGATGGGGTTTGAGGTTTTGACTGGGGAACACTGGCCAAAAGGCCAGGCTGACTGCTGGGTCCTGTAAGGAAAACAAACTCTGTGTAAAGGCTTAAAATTCTTCCAGACAAAACTGCCTTTCTGATATGCCAAAGCATGCTCTGTTCTACCTGGAATGTCTATCTTTTTGCTAGATTATGCGCTTCACATTTTTCAAAACAGAATTCAAATAACAAGATTTAATACTTGTCTCCTTCAGCATATCTATAGTGAACTGACCTATTGTACATAAACATAATCTTTGCACCAGATGGCATGCCACATGGCAAAAAAGCATTCTTTAAAACTTTATGTGTTGTTTATACAGCCCCCACCTGTATGTCTGGCCATGGTCAACAAATTCACTAAAAGAAGCTTCCTGGTAAGAGAAGTGATGGTTGTGTTCAGTGACTTGATATTTTGGATTAATCTACGTTATAAAGCAGAGTTCACTCATCTTGTTAGAAACAATATAGCAGAGCATGGAGGGGTGAGAGATACTTCAAAGAGACAAAGGATTAAAGAAACAATATTCTTCTTAAATTATCCCTATTTTCAGATGATATGATCCTATACTTTAAAGATCCTAAAGATTCTACCAAAAAAACTCTTAGATCTGATAAACACTTTCAGTAAAAGAGCAGGATAAAAAAAATCAACACATAAAAATAAGTAGGCTTCTCTATATACCAATAATGAACAGGCTGAGAAAGAAATCAGGAAAACAATTCCAGTCATAATAGCTTCAAAAAATTAAATACCTAGGAATAAACTTAACTAATGAGGTGAAAGACCTCTACAATGAAAACTACAAAACACTGAGGAAAGAAATAGAAGACACTGGATGGAAAGACCTTCCGTGCGTATGAAATGACAGAATTAATATTGTTAAAATGGCTATGCTACTGAAAGCAATCTATAGGTTCATTGCAATCTCCATCAAAATTCCAATGTCATTCTTCACAGAAATAGAAAAATCAATCCTAAAATTCATATGGAAACACAAAAGACCACAAATGGTAAAAGCAATCCTGAGTGAAAAAAAGCAATGCTGAATGTATCCCAATAGCTGACTTGAAATTATACTTCATAGTCATAGTAACAAAAACAGCATGCACTGGCACAAAAACAGATATGTAGACCAATGGAATAGAATAGAAGATCCAGAAATAAGCCCACACAACTACAGACATTTGATTTTCCACAAAGATGCCAAAAACATACATCAGAGAATAGACGTATTTTTCAACAAATGGTGTTAGGAAAATGGGATATCTACATCTACAAGACTAATACTAGATCCCCATTTTTTACTCTGTATTAAAGTCAATCCAAAATGGATTAAAGACCTCAAACTTTGGAACTACGTCAGAAAAATATAGGAAGAATACTTGAAGATATAGGCACAGACAACAACTTTCTAAACAGGGCTCCAAATTGCTCAGGAAATAGAAGCAAAAATTCACAAATGGAATTGTATCAAGTTAAAAGGCTTCTGAACATCAAAGGAAATAATTAGCAGGATGAAGAGACAGTGTACAGAATGGGAGAAAATCTTTGCCACTGGACATTGGACAAGGGATTAATATCTAGAATCTATAAATAATACCAAAAATCAAACACCAAAAGAACAAATAATTCAATTAATAAATGGGCAAATGAATGGACAGACACTGTGAAAAGAAGTACAAATGGACAATAAATACATGAATAAATGTTCAACATCCTTAGTCATCAAGAAAATGCAAATCAAAACAATATTGGATTCCATCTCACCACATTCAGAGTGAGTATCACCAGGAAAACAAACAATAACAAACACTAGCAGGAATGTAAAGGAAAAGGAACCCTTACACACTGTTGATGGGAATATAAGTTTGTGTAGCCACTATGGAAATCAATATGAAGATTCCTCAAATAAAAACTAAAATTAGATCTATCATATGATCTTGTTATAACACACTTGAGCATATATTCAAGGGAGATAGAGATACTTGCACATCCATGTTTATTGCAGCACTAGTCGCAATCACCAAGTCATAATATCAGCATAGGTGCTCATCAACCAATGAATGGATAAAGAAAATGTAGTGTATATATACATGGAGTACTATTCAGTCATAAAGAATGAAATTATGTCATTTGTAAGAAAATGAATGGAAGTGGAGATCATGTTAAGTAAAATACGACAGCCTCAGAAAGACAAGTACTACATGTTTCCTCTCATATGTGGAACCTAGATCTAAAGGGAAAAAAAGGACATGAACATAAATGGGGGACTATTGGGAGGACAACCGGAGGTTGGCTGAGGGGAAGAGAGGACAAGGGAAAGGAAAATATAATCGAAGTACATTGCATTCATGCATGAAAAAGTCATAATGAAACCCATTTAAATAAACTGCAAGAAAGATTTTTAAAAGAGAGCTGGTAGGAGGAGAAATAAGAAAGTACTAAGGAGGTGAATATGATCAAAGTATATTATATGGATGTATGGAAATATCACAATGAAACCCCACATTGTACTATCATTGAGAGCTTTAAAAAAATAATGTTCTGTGAATGTTAAAAAGAGGTGAGTTTTATTTCTTTAAAGGTATGGAGAAGTTTATGAAATAAAGAAGTAGGTATGGGATAAACGAACTAGACCACAGAATCAGAATCAGGGCCAAGAGAAGAAAAACAGAAATGACAGGCTTCTGTGGCCCTCGAGATCCACCTAAGTATAGAATCAGAGGTCTCCCATTCTGCAGCCACTTACCATACAAATTCAACAGCAGCTCACCTCATTGTTCTTGATATGTCTCTAGATTGCATTTCTAAAACAAAACTAGGCTTTCCAACACTTCCATAATCAAGAGGTAGAGTGAGCTGCAAACCAATCTAGGTACTGACCTGTAGCCTGAGGTAGGGGCTGAACTGTGGCCCTCTTCCGAGGTGTCAGGGCGGGTTGAATGGGAAGAATTCCTGGGTTCGGCTGAGTTTGCCCAGCTTTAGGCCTCTGGCGGGGTGCAATCGAAGTCTCTGTGGTGGGAATGGGATCTGTCAGTCTGGAAAAGGAAAAATAAAGATTCTAGTTAAAGTGTAGGAAAGTGAAAGAAGGATAGGCAGAGTACACGATGTTTTCCCCTCAACACTCCTCCAGACTTTCCAGAACAGGATCAACACTTTCCAAAGAGTGATACACAGCATGGTACAGTGTTACTAAATGTCTTCAAAATGACACCAAAACAAACAAACAAAAATGCTTGGTGGGCAAATAAAGTTTTAAGTACAACAACCAAAATGTATGAGGCAGATTTCTTTCCAGCAGAACTTTTTATGTGTAAATGTGCATGGTGAATCTCAATGAGATTGAGTAGTTTCTCAAGCTTATTTCATTTTTTGGGAACACCTACTAGGATTTACCTGAATCTGCTTTGGGTAATGATGAAAATAGGGGTTTAAGGCAGGTAGTTTTCAGATACAAAGAGAACTTAAACTTGGTTAGAGTTAGCTGTCACAATGGTCTCTTTACAATGAAAAGCATGCAAATGGGCAAACCCAGCATGGCAACTAGAAGGAATAAGTAAATAATCCAAGATAAAAGATTTTAATTTGGGGTGTGTGGCAGGAACATCATGTCCTCAAATACACATATTTCCTTTTCTCCATACTAATAAATTTTCAACTGGGCACAGGGCCACCCAGAGTTAAAAAATCACACAGCACAGCCTCTTCTGCAACCAGATGTGACCACGCATTTATATGGGATGGCCATGGCCTTCCTTGCATGGGATGAAAATAGATGGCAGTTTCTAGAAGCCTTAAGAAGTAATTTGGTGTGTGTTCTTTGTTTTTGTTTTTTTTCCCTTTGGGCATTCCTTGATTCTGCTGCTTTGAATACAGATGTTGTCATATTGATCCACAAGATCATGGCTACACTATAACAATGGTAGAGTGATGGGCTTCAAGAATTCTGGGTCCCTGAAGGTGATATAGAAAAGCCATATTAGTCCTGCCCTATTTGCCTCCAAATTTTGTTTACTTGTGGGGTAAAAAATAAGATCTATCTTCTATAATCCACAATCATTTTGAACTTTATGTATCAGTCAAGTCTAATCCAAACTAATATAGGAAAAATTGCTGTGTGGCTCACTTGCTGAAGCCCAGGTGCTAATTCCCACTCACAGTAGTCTAGGCAGTGGGCTACTACCTAACACAGATCAGAGCCAACCATAATTTGAAATGTACTTTAGGGGGTATAACTGAGGTTAAGGCCAAAAAAAACTTCATGCTTCATGAATATTTACAAAACATGTCTGGCACAGCCTCCATGTAAAACAGGAAGTAAAGGAACTGGCCTCATCCTTCTCCATGACATAACTTCAAGGTAAGTCCCTCCTTGACTCAGAAGTTTATCATTGGCATCCTGTTAGAAGATGCTTTTATGCAAGGCAGTGGACTAGTCATATAAAAGCTATTAGCTAGACACAGTGGCTCAGACCTGTGATCCTAGGTTCTCAGGAGGATCATGGTTTAAGGACAGCCCTGGCTAAAAGTTCACAAGACCCTATCTCAACCAAACAAAGCAGGGTGTGGTAGTATGTACCTATAATTCCAGCTACGTGGGAAGCATAAAAAAGAGGCTTGCAATTAGGCTGCCTGGGCATAAATGTGAAACCCTCTTAAAATAATAACTAAAGCAAAAAGAACTGAGAGAGTGGATTAAGTGGTACAGTGCCTGCCTACCAGTGTGAGGCCCTGAGTTCAACTAAAGTGCCACCAAAAAAAAAAAAAAAAAAAAAAAGCTATCACACTTGGGAAAGGAAGGTGGGAGGAGAAGATGGGACAGATGTTAGAAGAGAAGAAAGACAAAGCCCAGATTGGTGAACAGATTTCTGCGGAAACTCAAATATGGGAAATTCCACATTGGTCTTCTCTTGAGGGGAACATCTAAGAAACATGGAATTTGGAGTCAAAGAAGCTATGTGGGTTCTAGCGTCCCACTAACTATGTGATAATGGACATGTTGTTTAACCTCTTTCAGTTTTGGGCTTCTTTATTTCTTTTTTGTGTGGTACTAGGGTTTGAGCTCAGGGCTTTGTGCATGCAAGGCAGGAGCTCCTGAGTTTCTTCTATGTAAAATGTGGAAATGTGCATATATATTGACAACGGTGAAATCATTTTTATAAACTACAGAATGTCCAACATGTTAGTGCTTTAGTTAGTGTCGATGTGTGTGCTTTGTAGGAATGGAGAAAGACAGCCTTGTTAGCCTTTGTATATAGCATGTTTGGGCCTTGTACAAGATGACCCAAAAGACTGAACTAATTAAATTGGCCCCCAAAATCATACCCAAAGAAGTGAGCATGGAAGAATTACTATAAGAAATTGACAGACTACAAAGTAACAAATTTTGCCTGCTTGTTAAGCAAGTTTGCTAAGTTTATTAAAAACCAAAGCCTTATTATTTTAGAGCTGCATTTAGACTAATTCTAGGCACACAGTAAGCATTCTATAAACATTCAAGAATTTTTTTTAAATACAAAAGTAATCTAGTCTTATTCTATTAAAATTCACTTATTCCCATCTAGATCCTTTGTTGACAATGTTCACTAACTTTTCCTTGCCATAGGAGGATGGTAGAAAGAAGAGAGAAACAAACATTTCCCAGGCCACCCCCAGAATTTGCCATTTGGAAGGTGTGGCAGTCATGTGAATGTGCCCAGAAGACCTTCAGCTACTGGGGATGCAAAAGACCAATACTCCAGCAGATGTGCTCCAGAAATCCAATGCCAAGTATGCCCTGAGTCCCTGCTTTCCATAGGCTGCTCCCAACCTAATGTCTTAACTTTAGGAACTCCCGGAAGAAAGAAGATTCCTCTGCCCAAGCTGACTTTGATGTAAGGATTCCCCAGCATCTCTGGTGAAACTTCCTTAAATTGTGTGGCAGTCTGAGTCACTTTTACCCACCCCTCTCATTCCCCTCTCTGTATCAGACTTGTATCTTCTCTTGATTCTCCTAGCCTTTCCTGGCTCCCTCCATATTTTCGCTCACTTGGGCATTTCCCCAAATCGTATCTTTGCTTGTCCTATCCTCTCTTGCTCCCTGTTTCTTAGAAGACCCTGGGTGACATTAGTTAAGACTCATGGGGTCCTTTACTACTCATGGACTCAGTTTCCATGAGTTTCACCTTCACTTTCCTACCATGGATAGTGCCATGGAAGTAAGAAGGAAAGAACAGTAGAGGATTGGGATGGTGAGCATGGCTAACCACAAGCCAGAACACATATTAGGCTACTCTTAGCAACTTGTAAAAGTCTCTAGATGTCCTTGTGCCTATTCCTATGCAAGGAAACAGCTGCAGGTGCTTCACTGTCTTTCAAATGTAGATACCAGAATTTCATTAGTTCATTATATTTCTCTTGGCTTTCCAAAGAACAGCTTCTGCCTAGGAAAGACAGGGCTTGTTTTCCTGATCCTGTGCAGCTTCTGGTCATGGCAACCTAGGAATCAAAAAACACAGGCATCTCCCTGTGTCCAGTACCCCAAGCAGGATGGCCCTAGAAAGTGTTTCTTACCTGGCCTTTGGCTGAGTCTTTTTTGCAGCTGCCTCACTGGCTTTCACTGGTTCAGGAAGTTTTGCAGGAATAGGAGAGTTCTAAACAATTGAAAAGGTTGAAAAAAAAAAAGGACATCACCGATTTCTTCCTAACAGAACAAACAGCCTGACTAGGGCTGATGAAAATACTTTACATTTGGGGTCTTCAGTATGATTTCTAGGCCCTGGTCTCCCTGTAAGAGGGAAGTTAATCAAACGCATATCAGACTCAGTGGGGGAAGCAAGGTACCTGAGAAGAGGAGAGCAGCCCCCATGCAGCATGTTCTCCCCCTCCTGCACCAGACTGAGCTCACTGGGGCACACTGTCTCCTACTAACAAAGCTTAGAAGTGATGGTATGAGAGGAATGGAAAAGAGACTGTATTATTCAAGCTCCCAACTATATCTTAGAGAACTCAGCAATGACTCAGGTGCCAGTCAGGGTGCACCTGGAATTCCAGTGAGAATGCTAGGAGAACACACAGCTACCCAGTGCCTTTGGTTGCTGAGCCAGCACCCCTTCCCAACCCACAAGCCAACCAAAGTTCCTCTACTTAGATTCTACACAACCCAATATTACTTCTTGAGGGGGCACTAGCTAGTTTCCTGACCACCAAGTAAGAGCTCACTACTCCTAAGTGAGTACCAAATGACATGACACATGTGAGGTTTACTTTTTAAAAACTAGTAACCAGTCTGAATGCTTCTAATTATATTTCTTGCTAACTAATTTATGAATGGGAAAGTGGGGCTGCTAATGAAAAATTACTATACCATACCCCTCACATCAAACTGGGAAACTTGACACAGAATACTGGCGAAAATGCTGGCTTTTTAGGAGGTTCTCTCATTTCCTCATGTTTCCAGGAAGGGGGAATTTCTGCTACAAAACTTGTAGCTTCTCCTCCACATGTCAAGCATTCCCCAAGGGAGAAGAACAAAGTATCTGACTGGTAAGACTAGCAGAAAGAAATAAGCTCATGTGTTTCACCCTTGCCCTCCTTCCTTTCTAGAAGAACCTGTTTCTCAGGAGTCAAGCATTTCTGCCTCCGTCATGTGGTCAAATGTTAGGGAGCCTGGCTGGTCAAGCTCTGTCCTCTGACTCAACCTTTTAGTAATAAAGCCAATATTCTGAATGCCATCTGCATGAGTCTCACAGCTGATTCCAAATGCGGCAGTGAGTGAGGAGTATTACTTATCAGTGCCCTCAAGCCCTGTTAGCAGTGTCCAAAGTTCACTACTAGAGAAATGAGCAGGAAATTTTCTATTTATTATAGCATCCATTAGTAAAATATTCAAGAGTACTGGTCATAGTATATAATGGAAAATATTCCAAGATTATAAAAAGGGTGTTTGCAAAGCATTTTACTCTGAAAACTGAGCACAGTGTTTAGGACTACTAAGTGTAGAAAATGTGCTCAAGGACTGATGTGTGGGGAGGGCAGAGGAAAACAAGTGTGAATCATAGAAGGACAATGGCAGAAGCAAAATCAAGAATGTTCTGTCGCAAGGAAGGAGGACAGACAGGAGGGACTGAGCTGCAGTAGCTGGGAAAGTTCAGGTCTTGCTTCAGGAAAGCAGCATGCCTAATCGCTCTAGGGAAACACAACAAACACGGTTCCCAGTGAGCTGTGCAAGTCCATAAGACATACAGCGATCACCCTTCACACAAAGTACACAACTCAATCCCTAGGGCATTTGTTTTGTTCCATATTTATAATTAAATTCCATGGGAAAACTGGAAAACCTCTTACAGCAACTGCTTCATAGTTAGCTTTGCTCAAATGCCCCCTAGAACATACAGAAAGGGACATCTACATTCATTTAAGCAGAAAATTAACACCCCAGGAACTCAAAATGATACTTTCCTTAAAAAGCACCATTCACATACCTGTACATTCGGAATTGGGCATTCTTTCTTGAGTAGTTTAAAGGAGAAGTAGGAGACCTGGTAAATATCTGGCCTCTTGTCAGGGTCTGGCTCCAACATATACCCTAAGACAAACACATGTGAACTTATTCCATAATATTCTAACAGTCATGACATTAGCTAGGAAGCATAATATTTCTATTACTAAACTATTGTTTTTTTTAATTTTCATTTCTCATAAAAATCAGACAGTACAATTAACCCTTTTCCTAGAAAAGGAAGCTCTAACTTTTCTAAGATATTTAATATACAAAAGAAAGTAAAGTATTTGAATTATAACAAAGATAGTTGAAGTTCATATTCTGTAAAGTCTGAACTCAGGGCCTCCATTTGAGCCCAGTCCAACAAATGATTACTCTAGATAAGTATAGCCAAAACCCAAACATCATGAATTTATTCACTATTCTTTTGTTGGAGATATTAGCTGGTGTCCAATTTAAGGAAAATAATATACAAAGCTACTTTAACTGTAATCCAGAGATCACCTATTTCCAGGTCCTTTGAGATTCTGCTCTCTCTGAAGCTGGAAAACCTCTCAGAAAAAGTCTTGGTGAAGATACGAGCACACACATCATAAATATACAAACAACAATGCAAGGCAGTTTACTGCTTAAGTATTAAGTGGATGCTTTGGACACTAAGCTCAGAAATTCTCTTGGCAAGCTCTAGGCAGCCTTGGAAGGCCTTGCATAGAGGCAGGATGGAAAGCAGGGGTGGTGGGGTAAAGCAGAGAAAAAGACAGTTGAGGTGAGAGAACAGTGTGGGCAAAGGAGAACTTGGATAAAAGCAAGAGAATGAACACTCTGCTGAATGGAAACGGAGGAGCCCAAAGGTCAGGGTAGAGAGAAAGGTTCTCTCTGAGTGGATGGAACCAGAACATGAAGGATCTTAAAGGTCACATTAAGGATCTGGGTCCCACTGTGGGCCCATTGGCAGCCACTCAAATTTACTGAACAGGGCATGAGAGGCTGATGTTTGCTAAGAGCAATCTTCTGGCAAGGTTGCATTAAATAGATTGAAGAGAGAGGAGGGAAACTCCAATTTACCAGTATAGGCATGAGCCTATACTGACAGAGTCTGTACATACTATGGTGACAATGAGAATCAAGAGAATCAGTGAAAATAACAGTAACTCAAAAAAAAAAAAAATTGGGTGATTACTAATTCTTCCCTCCATCTTGCTAGCCAGATCCAAAGAAAAATTTAAATTTCATTCATCGAAGCTAGAATGGAGATCCAATGAGAAACTGAAGAGAGGGGAATCTTATACTTTGGTTAAAAAGAAGGGGTACAATGATAAACTGAATTTTAGGCTCGTGAGTTCAAGGTGATAACGAAATCTTTAAATAGTTTGCAAAGTATACTTTGGGAAAGATGTCAGTGCTATAGACATTCATAAAGAGCTGTGTTTCCCTATATGAATTTACTCTACAAATGTTAAAAGACAAAAATGTCCCAAAATGATCCTAGTTATATCAAATTTGGCTACTTTCTCATATGTCTTCCCAATCTTATTTACGTATCTGCAATTCTAGTATAGATGCAATGCTTTACCTCTGAAAATAATTTAACAATCATTAAATGCCATATCCTATTCCTTTAAATACCTCCCCTCTTTTTCATTAATAATAGAAGAGACTGATTGATAAAACTGGCACAATGGAAAGGGTAGTCACTTAAAAGCTACAACAATACTAACTTCAGTAAGTTACCTATACATTCTTAGTATCCTCTCGTGCAAAACAAGGATAATTATACTTAAAATTTAGAGCATTTTAAGAATTAACCGGGTGCTGGTGGCTCAAGCCTGTAATCCTAACTACTTGGGAGGCTGAGATCAGGAGGAAAGCAGTTCTAAGCCAGCCCAGGCAAATACTTTGTGAGACCCCATCTCCAAAATAACCACAGCAAAATGTACTGGAAGTGTGGCTCAGTGGAGTGCCTGCTTTGCAAGTGTGAAGTCCTGAGTTCTCCCAGCAAAAAGAAAACAGAAGAAAGAATTAGATGAGATACAAGTAAGCATTCAACACATGTCTCCCTTCACATCTGCTGCTTCTGTTTTTCAGTGCATCCCCGCAGGATCTAAACTGGGTTGCTTAGAATTTATAATTCATAATAGTTAAAACTCAGATGCTAAATGCCTGACCAATATTTTGAAAGAAGATTTAAAAAATCTGTTTCTTTAGCATTTAGTGCAGGGTCTTGTCTAAAGATTACTTATTCCACCATCTGGTTAATAGATGTTAGTACATATGCTTGCTATGAAGACATAAAAAAGTGAGGAATCTTAAGACTATTTTAAATAAACTATTCAGTTTGGCTGTTATAAAAACCCAGTGATTAACCTAAATGAGAAGAAAAACCTGGTTTCGTGGAGTTATGTAGTCTTAATTATGTATTCATTTCAATGAAGGCACTGCAATCATTCTCATTTGAGTTGCTTCCAGTTTGCAAAGATGAATGTCTTATCACTTGATATGAGTCAGCTGGACTCTCTTGGTATCACAGCTTTCATACAGATTGCAACAAAAAACAGCAGTACTGTAATGCTCAAAGCCCAATTAGCATTTCTACGTGTGCGGCTGGCTCAGGTATGAAACAAGTGTCCAGCAAAAAGACCCACCTCTCTAATGAGGAATTGTTACATTATCTTTGCATTCCCAACTATTATCATCTGATTTGTTTCTTTTTTAAATTTTTCTGGGGCTTGAACTCGGGGCCTCACACTTGCTAGGTAGGTGCTCTACCATTTGAGCCACTTTGCCAGCCCTTCAACTGATTTATCTCTGTATCCAATCCATTAGTACTGGAACCTAATCCCTTTATCTTTCAATTCATTCCTGTTATTAGAAATAAAAATGTGAAACTAGAAACTTGAAACACTTACTAATAAGGCAGTGCATGTCTTGAGAATATCGAGAGTTATCAGGAATTGTGAAGTTTCCATCACAAATTGCCACCTGACTCTCCCCAAATGGCAAAGTAAAGTAGCATAATTTATACAACAAGCATCCAAGAGCCTAAAAAATGAAGAAAGCAGATTGCTATTAGTAATTTATTTACCATAACTCTAGATGGATCTACAGAGAGATACTGGTACCATCCACATTTACTACAGATCTAAAATCTGTACATTATTTATTTATTAGAAACCTGAATTTACAGCTCAACATTATTATTTAGCAGCTGAGTTACATATTTACACTATTATTACCAAACTGTGCTCCAGCAAAGAACAAATATTTTACATGGTTTGCTCTCAAGAACTAGTAACATATAAGTGAAAACACCAGAATAATTTTATAATTCTGAAGTCATTTTCTTTGTCATGTTCTAAGAGGCAGTAGCTGGTCCCCTCACATCACAAGAAGTAGATAGTTCTGTGGTATTGGTGCTACATGCTAATGCACTGCCTGCATTAAACTCGGGAGTTGACATCAATGACTGCTGATATCTGGATATGAATAGCTTAGTTGACACCTACCCAAATGTCTGCCTTCGTAGTGATGATTTTGCCACTGTACAAGTTGACCATTTCTGGTGCTCGATAGGATAGTGTTGTGTATCTATAATCAAGAGATTCATGTTTTGTTAAATATATCAAGCTATTATTCAAAACCAGGAGAGGCAGAACTTTTTAAAAAACATTAATAGAATACAGTTCCCTGGGAGCAATCTGCAGAAGAGAGTATGAAATATTAGTACAATAAGATGAAAGGTTGTCCTTGGTACAATAATATCACCATACCATGGTCCTCTAGCAACAGACCCTCTAATCTAAGAATGTGTGGGCACCCAGACACTAATAAACTAAACATGTTCTAAGAACAACTTGTTTGGGGTTGTCAAATGACAACATATTCTCCTCTAAATCTCTGTTGTATAACACTATATTTTGCTATTTTTTTTAAAATAGTATACCCTTCAAATGTTGCTCATGGGAGATGCAATGCTATCTACAATACTGTAGAGAATAGCAGAAAGTGAGCCCTGGCTGGGGTGGGGGTGATGGGATCAAGTGCTCTTGATCTTTGCTCCTGGAACAAGCCTAAAACAACAGTGTTTTTTATCTCTGAATCAAGAAAAGAGTAGTGTAAGCTCACCCTCAGAGTGAATATCTTGGTATTACCAAGCACATGAACTGTGCTGCTCCAGTCTCTAAACCCCAGATGGGACTGGTTTAGGTGTGTCCCAGGGCCTTGGACCAGATGCATGGGGTGATACATGAAAGCGAAGAAAGAAAAAAGAGCTATATATGCATGTTAAACAGCTGATTTACTAGCAGCAATAATGAGTGCTGTTGCCTATGAAGAACCCAACACTGTGGGTAAGAGGGGAAAATAGGTCAGCTTCTTACTGGAGTCACAAATCTAAAGAGTTTTTCTGAAGAAGTCACTGATTTAATATCTGTAAAGACTTCAACAGACCTACTCACCACCAATTCCATTAGACTTTAGGTGAGCTCCTCATGAACAGGAAGGAAGCAGCAATTTACAGTTCAGTAAAAAGCACGTGTGTCTTATTGATAATGTCACAGTTATTGTGATCACTTGGCAACATCAGAGTACTTTAGCATTGTGTGAACCATTCAACTTTTTATGGGTCAGTGACACTGTAAATCAACATATGTGTGCACAATGACCACAGAACCATTGAAAAAGTGTTACAAGATTCCTTCTTTTACTCCACTGATCAATGCTTGTGACTCCCTCCTCATCCTTCATTTAAAATCTATGAAGAGGATGGTCCAGGACAAGGATAACTGGCACCATTTTCTTCCCATTCTATTTCATGTATAAGCAGAAAGTAAAATTGCTTATCTGATAATGGACACAAGTCTAAGAAAGTAGAAAGGGCTTACTTCTTAATCTCATCTTCTACTGCATTCACTCCCTCAGTTTGTGGATTCTGAAATTTGTTTGTAGCACTTCCAAAGTCACACAGGACATAGTGGCCTCTGTCATGCAAGAGGATATTCTCAACCTGAAAGACATTCCCCAACCACTCATTCCAAGATATCATTTAGCAATGCATGTGGAAATTTGGCTTCATAATCACATAGGTAAAATGTATTATTTCTGGCAATCTCATTAGTGCATACAGGAAAGTATTTCTTGTAAAGTATCTCAACAGGAGTCGTCCCAAGTGGAACAAAAGGAGATGCACAATAACAGAATCAAATGAGGGCAGAAAAGGCAGAAAGAGGAGACTCTACAGTAGGGGAATCCAGAGTACTACTTTTCCAGATTCCCAGCCACAATTCTCATCTTTGCAGAAACAATCCCCATACTTTTAAGCTCTTGCTCTTCTTTCAGTTTAGAATGTGCTCAACGATACCCACCTCCCAGTCCAGCTATCAAATAATCATTCATCTTTCAATCTCAAATTCAAAAGATCACCTCCTTTCAGAAACCCTCCTCAGGCCCCCACTCAGAAAACTGTCACTCCTTCCCTATTTCCCTTCAGTATTTCATTCTTCCATGACATCAGTTACTCCACTTGCATCTTTTAAGTACATGTACCTATGTCTTTACAATAGGTTAGGATGTTCAGAATCGATATTTTTTATATTTTAGATACTTCTCAAAGTGAATAAATGTGTGGAAATTTTCCCTGTTAAAATGGGCAGTTTCTCTATTAAAATATTGCCATAGGTTTTTTTGTTTTGTTTTGTTTTTATAAATGAAGTCTTTGGGTAGTGAGTTAGGAATTCTAAGAAGCTTATAAGGACCAAAACCTAGAGAAATCCCTGGTATCAAAGGGCTCTCGTAATAAAGACAACTCCAAAAATAGTGGACACTATATTCTCAAGATGCACTGATTAATTCTTGGTATGAGGAACTAAGCTGACTGCATGCTGGAAAACAAACCTGGCTATGCATGAACAGTAAAATAGCAGCAAAAAAAAATCTTGTTAGGCTAGTAAGAATGTAATCTCCACTATCTTTTGTTTTCAGCCTTCCAAAGATGGATCGCCTTTAGAAAACAAAGGAAGGTTAGACTATAAGCTCCTCAAAGACAAGTCATCATCTCTCAATCACATCTGTCTTCTCTACTTAGTGCCTACCATATGCTTGGTACAGAAAATGTCCATCAAATGAAATAAATAAAAGAGAGGAGAGGAGAGGGGAAGGGAAGGGAGGGGAGGGGGAGAGGAAAAGAAAAAAAGAAAGAAACAACCAAACACACATAACACTGTATTTGTGTGTGTGCACATGCAATCACCATGCATGAACCCAGTCTGTCAGAAGCAAGATAGGAGCCACTAAATACTATTGCTACTGGTTCTTTTTAAAATACCTGGTTAATCAAGTGATAGAGCATCTGCCTAGCAAATGTAAAGCCCTGAGTTCAAAACAAGAAAACAAAAGGTGACATATATTACCTTTGTCAAAAAATACCTGGTTGATTACAATATTCTCTTGTTCCCATGCTACTTTCTAAACTTTTTAAATTCGTTTTGTTTTGGTTTGGTTTTTGATGGGAGCAGGGTTTGAATTCAGGTCTTCACACTTGCAAAGCAGGTGCTCTATTGCTTGAGACACACCTCCAGTCTATTTTACTCTATGTTACTTTGGACATGGTGTTAGTGAACTATTTGCCTGGGCTGGCTTCAAATTGTGATCCTCTCAATCTCAACCACCCAAGTAGCTAGGATCACAGGCATGAGCCACCAGCAACTGGCTCTTTATTTTATTTTTTTAATTCTTCTAAAAATTGAATTAAGTATATTCTTTAGTCTCTATCCATTAATGCAAATTATCTGAAGTCTTTGCTGCAAACTGATTCTGAAGTTTATGGTTTCTTATTCCTACTGAACTTCACTTTTGGTACTATTGTTGTAAAGGGTTTTATTTTAACTTACATTCCTTGGAACTTCAGTAGGAACTCTTTCAGCCTCAGGTCTAAAGTCTACTGTTCTGCCAGAGAATAATGGAAGGACTGGGGCTAGTACACTTAGGGGCACTAGCAACCTGACCTTGGTATCAGTCGCTGAGGCAGAAAACAATGGCTATGAGTCTAAGCAGATATGCTCTTATGAAGAAGTCTTCATTACAGAATTATGTATTCAGAATGGTTGAGACAGGATTGGTGGAATGGCTCAAGTGGTAGAGCACCTGCCTGGCAAGCACAAGGCCCTGAGTTTAACCCCCTGTACCACAAAAACAAACAAACAAAAAAGCGACAGATTTATTTCCTTGAGATAATGCTGAGGCACACAAAAATTTCTACCATTTACAGCCCTTATAAAGTTCCTCAGTTAAATCTATTCACACAAAGAGAAACAGTCAAGTTATGCTGGGCATATCCTCACGTTACGAATCTAAAACAATTCCAACAGAGCAACACTAATGCCTTCAATCTGATTTAGAAATTATAAAGTAACAGCCATCATTTCATGAGCTTTTATTATTGCCAGCACTACTGTGCTCAGCACTTTACATGGATTATTCCACTAAATCCTCATAATGACAATGTTATTATGATCCCAATCACACAGATAAAGAAAAGTGAGGCCCAGAATGATTAAGTCACTTGCTAAATGTCACACAGCTAATAAGTAGTGAAGTTGGGAAGTGAACTGAAGCAATCTAATTCTAGAAAAGGACAGTCAATTACATTACTGCCAGGACAAGAAGCAGATTAGAAGCAGAAATAATTATTTAAGACCCCCATCCCCACCCTACGGTAGGGGTAATGATGACTTTATACCTGCCCAGCATACTGGAATGGGCTTATGGAAAGGGTCTTCTTAATTCTTTACATCCAGAAATGCCTCTATAATAGAAATCTAGTCAATAAGGAGCCAAGTGTCTACAGTAGGCAGGATGATTTGTTCAAGAACTCTTAAGCATTTCTTTTATAACTGAGTATGTCCTTTGTTCAACTGTTCACTCTCCAGTAGTCAAGTCCCAGTTATTCTTCAAAACCTTGATCAAGGTGAACCCCTCAATAAAACTTTCCATGACTACCCTACATAATAACACAGAACTTACTGTTGACAGGAGGAGGTCAGAAAGGCTTCAAGCCAAATCAAGTCATGCCTATTGATTATTCTATAGTCTATGTGCTGTGCTTTGATATGAAGTGTCTCCCAAAAGGTTTATGCATTAAAGTCTTGGTTCCCAGTTGGTGGTTCCAATCATTGAGATGTGATTGGATCATGAGGGTGCTAACCTCATCAATGAGTTAATCCATTCATGAGTTCATGGCTGAATGGAGTATTAGGAAGTAGAGCCTTATTGGCGGGGGTGGGTCACTGGGGGCATGCCCTTGAAGGTTATACCTGGTCCCTGGTCCCATCCTGTTTCACTAGACTTTCTGGCCACCATGAGTTGAACAGCCTCCTCTACCACGTGCACAACATCATATTATGCCTTGACTCAGGTCCAAAGCAATGACTCCAACCAAGTATGAAACTGTGAGCCAAAATAAGTCTTTCCTCCTTTAAGTTGTTTCTCTCAGGCATTTGTCACAGCAACAAAAAAGTCTAAGTAGTACACTTTGGTTGCGTTTCTCCAAAGGCAGAATTGAATAATTATGACAGAGACAGTTTGGCCAACAAGCCTAAAATATTTACTACCTAGCCCTCTATAGAAAAGGTTTGCCACCCTTTGGTCTGTCATAATCACTCAGTATCGCTTAAAATTCTTCTCCTATGAATTCATATTTAAATTCTTATATATTTATATTTGTCTTCCAGTACTAAACCTTTGGGGTCAGAAAATGTATTATGCTTGTGTATCTCCCATAGCACCTAGCCCAGTATTGTATACCTACCAGGTATCTTTAAATGTTGCTAATGAAACCACTTACTCAGCATCATTCACAAACAATCTTCCTACCTAGCTTCATGTACCTTACAAGACTTCTGTGAAGTCATGCTTTTCCTATTGTATGTGTGTCAGCTTCTACACTTCTAATGCTGGAATCTGAAAAGTTAATTCATTTCAAAACACAAACAAGGTATCTGCGGGACCAAAATCTCTGCTGGGGAAGAGGGGAGGACTAAGCAGACAAAGGACAGAATAAAGATGAGGCACACTGTTGAACTGATGAAAACAATAATCCCTGCTCTAGCTACTTTTGTGCATTATGTGGGGAGGATCAAGCAAGATTATGAAGGTGAAATCACTTGGCAGCGGCCACCTCTCTTATTGCTGCATTCTTCATCTACTCTGTGTGTCCTATGACTTGTAGCTTCTGCAAAAACCTCCAAGGCCATGCTGGCCACTGTTGCTGCCCTCCATCACCACCACCCACAAAACACTAAGCACAGAATATGGTCTATGGTAACAATATAGGACTTAGGGGGCAGAAGTCCCCAAAGCCTATTTCTGATGTTTGACCTTGGCCAAGTCTTTAAGCCTCTTTGGGCTTGTTTCTCATCTGCAAAGTAAAGCTGATATTTCCATCACAGATGTTACAGAGCAAATAAGAGAATATGTATCAAAGTAAACTATAAATCTCCCTACATAAATGTAAAATACTATTACCACCAATTTGTGAAAGAAATATCTTTGATTTCTACAACATGCCAAGTGTTTTTTAGATTCTAGGGAAAAGCCTGTGAAAAAACAAGGTCCAGCATCTCATGGAACTTAAGAGTCCAACTGGGAATAAGAAAATAATTATTATCACCTGGTAGTGATGAACGTCATGAAAAAATCCCAGCAGGTTAAATACATGTAAGGTGAAGGGGGAAACCACTTTAAAGAGCAATTAGGGAAGGTCTCTGATGAAAAGAGAAGAGAGCTGAATAAGGAAAGAAGTCATGGACCATCTGGGGGAAGAACATTCTGAGCAGTAACAGTCAGCACTGAGGCCCTAAGGTGGATGTGCACTTGAGGTGTCTGAGGCATGCAGGCAAGACAATGTGGCTGGATCAGCACTGCGCATGGCACTGGCACTGCAAAGGAGGCCAAAAACATGGGGCAGGACATACTGTAGTCAGGGCTGCCATTGACGAGGAGATAGGATAATGCAGAATATTGGAGGAAGTAAAGGATTAATAAAACTAGTAATAATGGTATCAGCAGCTAATAGCATTTACTGTGTCTCAGACAAAGCCCAGTGAACTTTTATTTATAGTAGTTCATATAACCCTTACAAAATCTTATTGACCCCCTTATCAGAAAAGAGGGACCAGAGAAGTAGGATGTGGAGTCAGGCTGCCTGTCTGCTGGGACCTCACCCTCACCTACCATACTGATGTGCACTATGCAGTTAATGTTCATGGGCAGTTTAGAGACGGGAACAAAGGAGAGAAGACCAAAGAAACAAACAGGGGGAAGACTGGAGAAGGCCACTCAGGAGGCATTCAGCATTTTTAACAGATCATCCATACAAGCAAACAGCCATTATAGAAAAATCAGCTTGGCAAAAGGAGGAAGAATAAGAGAAAGTAGACAACGAGGACAGGTGCAAATGGTCCAGACATGAGTGACTAAGGCTAGGGCCAATAGCAATGGAGAAGGGTAAGATAGGAAGTAAGAGGGGACAGATTAAATGAGATTAGGAAGGTAGAGAGCCAACTGATGTTCATACACCATCCTCTGAAAACTTCTGAGAATGTGCATAGTGATGTTGTTTTTGACAAAGCCCCTTAAGGATGTAAGCCTAAGGTGGGTTACCACTGCTTACAATTGCTCAAATATTTCAGCTCTTTGAGAGTTCAATGCTGCTGACCTTATTTTCCAACCTATCAGTTTAAAGAGCCCTATTAAAGGTGTCACTCTCAAACACTGCTCTAGCCTTAGCGTAAAGTCCTGCAAAGCTACATCCTCCTGACCTCTTTATCTCAATGTTACTCCAAACAGGCATAGCACTGAGGCATTTCAGAGAACTTATTATTCACTGGAAAATTTGGCAGGCTAGATGAATGCAGGTTTTCCAACCTGTGTTTCTGAAAATGTTCAAATCTTCATTCTATTATGTCATGAGACCAAAATCATCTTTCTGACAGAAAAGGTAATACCTATGACTTTTCAACCTGAACATATTAAGTATTCACCCTTTCTTCCCCTTTCTTAAGTGCACAACTAACACAGTATAACTTAAGTGCACAACTAGCACAGCATAACACAACAAGACAAAACAATGAAAAACCTGGAAATGGGAGTGAAGAACCTCTTTGTTCTGGTTTGATTACTTAATTGGCTGTACAGGACAGTCACAGCCTTTTTGGCTAGTTTAAGCAAAATTCCTAGATCAATGCCCCATGATCTGCAATAATGACCTTTCTCTCTCTCAGAGAAATGAAAATTAAAAATGAGAGAAAATAACTAAAGGGTTACAGTAATGTGTTTGAAGAGAGAGCTAAAGAACAGTATTCCCATAGTTATTTTTAGAACATAAGCTAAGGACAGAGATGACTTGCAGTTCATGTCCTATACGGAATTGGAAAGAAAGACCATACATGTGGAAAGGCAAGAGAGGCCTTCCTCAGTTCTGCCTGTGAATGAGCACTGGCTCACACAGGTCAACCACAGACTTAGCCTGGGTCCTTTCTTGTGTCCCACTAATTTGTACTCATAGTGGCATCTCCTCCAGATGGAAATCCTGCTCACATAGCAGCAGCCAGCACTTTCTCAGGCCAACTCAAGAAATCAGGAACTTCTTGGCTCTGGCTATCACCAGGACAGTGGTGGCTGTTTCTAGTAATGATAAGGAGCTGAGAGTGGCTGAAGCTCTGCAATGGACTAACCAAGGCAGGAGGTATATGGGGACTTTCCTCTCAGACCTTGGGAAATTGGAGCTGTAGCAGGCAAATGCCATTGCTACCATGCACATACTAGTAGAAATGAGCACTAATGAGAGCATCAAGATGGCACCCAGTGTTGAGTTTAGGGTATTTTAGAATGTTTCAGTCAAAACAACCGAATCCAAACAGCAATCACAGGGCTTCTCTGTGACAGTTAAGAGTTCAGGCCTCCTCCCACAGTCCTGCTTACACTCCTTATTTCCAAGGCCTCCTGAACCATGGCAAGCAAACCACAGCATATCTGAGGTCATCAATATCAATGGAAAGACAACTGCAGAGCCTACTACTGTGTCCCCACACTGTGCTGCTCCTCTGAGATGCAGGATAAAGTGCTGGGGAATAGAACATGGCAGCAGCTTGCTCCTGCTGCTGCCTTGCCCTCTGATTCCAGTGAAATATCTCACAGTCTGCTCAGCCAGTGAAGGAAGAGTCTGCAACCCTGCTGCCTCAGCTCTTCATGGACCTACTCTGCAACCTCAGCTCTGCACCACAGGCTCCCAATCCCAGGTGGTGCCAATCCATTCCTAATAGCAGCACTGCCATAACACGGGGCATTACCATCCTGGAAAAACACAAACTGGATAGCTATTTCTGGCAAAAAATGATTGCCTTTCAGACTAATCCAACAAATGTTTAAGAAGTTAAAATAAAGGGAGACTTTGTTTTAAAACACAGGACTAGGGGCTGGACATGGTGGCACATACCTGTGATCCCAGCTACACAGGAGGCAGAGAGGATCACAATTTGGAGCCAGTCTGGGCAAAAGAAAGTTAGGAAGAACCCTAACTTTCATGAATGAAAGTTAGAATTAATTCAACTATTATACAATGTGAGAACTTGGACTTTGGTAAATGTCACAATGTACTCCCAGTAGATTTTTAATTCCATTCAACAAATATTGTCAAGTGATTACAATATGAAAGCCACAGTGCAAAGTGATGGTAATCAAGAGGACCAATTTTTAAAATTAATGGTTCTTACAAAATAGACTTAAAATTAATGTTATTTATAAACTATTTAAATTAATATATTAATTTTCATGACCTTGAAAAAGTATACTTGGGACTATAGCAAGAAAAATAAAAATAACATGGATTCAGGAATTTGGTAATTTAAAAAAATTTCTGGAGGCTATTTAAGTAACAAAATTGATAACCACATTGTACTTCTTCCTTTGTATTTTCTCTTCCCAAGCACAGTGTAAGTTTACAGTTAGGGACCATGCCATGAATGTCTGTCACATCCCCACAGTGTCTACCCCATCCCTGGAGCAGATAGAAAATACTCTGCAAAATCAGAGTGGTCTTTTACCTTCAAGTCACGGTGGATAATAGGAGTTTTGCATTGATGCAGGCGGGCAACAGCTTCACAGGTATCACAGAATATCTGGAGCACTTCATTCTCTGTAAAGCCTGTTTGCAGGCGCTGGTTCATCAGGTTTACTACCTGGCCTCCTGAGAAGGACACAAAGCAAAGGAGACTTGTCACTTAGACCAGGAGTGTAAACGGTTGTCCAAAGAGGAGCAAGGCAGACTGAAGAAACAGAGCTGATCACCAGCAGAGCCAGAACTAAATCCCAGGTGTTTCTTACAATCCATGCCTCCTCTAATGAGTCAAAACCAGAATTTTTAAAAAAGCACCCCAGATATGAGCTGTCCTCATTATGTCTTTAAGATTAGTAACAGAACTGACAATATGACCCTACTATACAGTTGCCTGTCCCTACTGCATGTGGATGAGACCATATCTTCAAACTGTCCTATCTTTTAGTAAGAATCAGAATTCACAAAAACCTAGGAGGTAGGACATCATTATAATCTATACTTTAGGAATAACTTGGTCTCTCTGGCTTCACAAGTTACTACACCAGCATTTCATCTCCAGGACCAAAAGACTGATGACATCTCTTACATTATCCAGATCCCTACATCCTTCTACTGCCTGGTCTCTAAATAGTATATTGTCCAAAAAGGAATGATCAGGAAGAAATAAACTGTCAGGTTCAAATTTGGTAGTGTTTTACAAAATCAGGTTCATAGTTAATCTAATGAAGGCTGAAATTACTAGTTAGCATAACATTTTCAAGGCTAGGGAGGCAGCTCAGCAGTAGAGCATCCGTCTAGCATGCACAAGGTCCTAGGCTCAATCTCCAGACCCGCAAAAATAAATCACATTTTTGAGATAAGAAATATATTTAATTTATAGACAGGTTCTTTAGAGACAGGAAAATGTTAGTGAAATGTTTAGTGAAACTGAGGGCAAATTACAAAACAGGGCACCAAACAGTAAGACAATAATTTAAGCTGCTTAAACTAAAAATCAAATCTCCCAACAGTGGTTGTAAAGAAAGCAGTCAAGTCTGAATTCACGCTACAGCTTGGATTTCTCAAGATAAATGTTGTTTGAAACTTCAAAGCTTTCAACAATTTAACTCTACTGTTAAGAGCAGTATTACATGAAAGTATCCTTGCTAAGAATCACAATTCCAGAGCAAGGAGAAGGGAGATTCTTTTATCCCATAATACGTGGGTGATGGTGTGAGTGGGGGGGTAAGGAAGCTGCACTGTTTCTTTAGTCCATTTGGAGTTGGGCCTTTATTATGTGCCTCATCATTCATTTTAAAGCATCACAAAGAATATATTCATTCTCATTCTCATATGGTCTCATTTATATACATGACCAAACCTTCCAAAACCTGACAAAAATGAGATTTTGTATTATCCATGGTTTTCAATTGCTTATGCCACTGCTCCTTGCCATTGCAAGAGTAACTAGGAGTTTACAACAGGCTGTATCTTTTAAATCTCTTAGTCCTCCTACCTATAAAACCAGAATGATATACTTTAGGGTACAATGCACATTAAGTAAAATTATCCCTGTTCCCTTGACAATCAAAATGCTAGAGAAATGAGAATTTGAGGATACAGTTCATATACATACCTCTACAGAAGTCCATCAGAATGAGAACTTCCCATACATCGCCGCTACTCACATTGTTGATACTAGAGTCAATGTAACCCACAATGTTCTTGTGCCCTGACAGATCCCTCTGTGAACAAAAGTTGAAAAATATGTCATTAGTTACAGACCAATAGGGACAGAATTAGCCACTAAGTTTCATTAGCACAGATAGTTTAAATACACATAGACAACACTAACAGTGTTGATAGGTAAGATTAAGGAACAGAGCCAAGTACAGGTTTCCAGTGGCCTCTGAAATTCATGGCCAGATGTTCAATAGCAATTCCATTGTCCTAATGAGCCATAATAACTCCCCAGAACCTAAGCTCAAGCATCACATTCACAGACAGTGCCTACTTGCTCACTAAATCAGAGTTCCATGTAAACCAGAAGCAAAGACTTCCATCTCCAGAAATACTGCAGAGGAATTAGAGGAGAGACACAGTGTAAGTATTTAAATATGTAAATTGGGAGGATGCTGTACTGGGAATTAAACTCAGGACCTTGCAATAGCTACCACCTAAGCCACACCCCCAGTCCTTTTTGCATGGGTTATTTTGAAGACAGGGTCTCACTTTATGTCCCAGTCAGCCTGGACCAGATTCTCCTATTTGTGCTTCCCCCCATAGCTGGGATGACAGGCATGAAACCACCACATCTAGCCATTGATTGAGATGGGTGCTTTGTGAACTTTTTGCCAGGACTAGCCTCAAACTGAAATCCTCCCAATCTCTGCCTCCCAAGAATCTAGTAGTATAGGTGTGAGCCACTGTGCACAGCCTAAATACATAAATTTTGAAAACAGAAAACAAAAAACTTATGCTTCTCCTGGTTGTAAGGGCAAAGTGAATTCAATTTGACTGTTTAAAAGTTCATATTATTATTCTTCATTTAGAAAACATGAACAGAATAACTGTTTTACAAAGTTTTGAAGGGCCTATGCTAGCATCCAGACCTAAGCATTTTGCTCATAATTAACCTTTTCAAGCCAACCAACTGGGATGCTGGCCATCAGCTGGAACTGCAACAATCTGTCAGAGCGTCACATGGACTTCATTCACCCACCAAACATTTATGGAGAACCCCTACAAGTCAGGACCCATTTAGGCACTGAAAGTCAACTCACGTCTCACATGGTCATTTCAAGGACCAAAAAGGCAGATCTTTGTGATGATGATGTTAAAATTCATAGTCATTAGAAACTAAGTTGAGGAAAGACAAAGTGAACACACCAGACAAAATGATTTTTTTATACAAATGCAAGGTAAGATTTTGTTAAAATGTAGTTTTCATTCAACAAATAAGAAGGACACCTGCACGCCTATGTTTACTGCAGCATTATTCACAATAGCCAAGTACTGGAATCAGCCTAGGTGCCCAACAACTAATAAATGGATAAAGAAAATGTGATATATATACACAATGAAGTATTATTCATCCATAAAGAATAATGAAATAATGCCATTTGCAGGAAAATGGAGCAATTGGAGGTCATGATATTGAGCAAAATAAGCGAAGCTCAAAGAGTAAATATCACATATTTTCACTCATATGTGGAATCTAGGTCTAAAATGCTAAAATAACAATAATAATGGGGCTTGAGTGCAAAAGGGACATTTTGGGGGTGGGTGAACAACAGAGAGAAGAGAAATAGAGAGGGTATGGGGGTGAAGAGGATCAAAGTATATTACATATATATATGTGTGGCAATAACATAAAGAAACATACCAAATATTGTTTTTAAAAGGGTGGGAGGAAGGAAGGGGTTAAAGGAATATCATAGAGGGGTGAACTTGCTCAAAATACACTGTACACATATGTGGAATTTCACATGCAACCCCCTTTTAGTATTAATGAATCCTAAATTTAAAAAATAACAAAAAATTAGTTTTCATGAATTATTTTACTTTTGTTTTTAAAAGCTTAGGAGGAGGGAATGTAAAGTATGTGCTTCTATGAAAGCCACCATACAAACTCATCAAGCTGGACTGTGAGAACAGAAACTGCTACTACCCTAACTGGAGATTCAGCTGTTTAAAGTGACAAATGAAATCTCTTTTATCTGAAATTGCACAACAAAGCAAGAGGAAACCCAACAGTGTCAAATGAATGCCCTTGCACTCTGAGCTTCAAAGTTACAACTCATGAGCCCTTCTCTAAGTGAAGAATTAAGAACGACCCCCCAGTGCAGACAAAGGTAGAAACATGAATATGAGAAGCCTCTGCAGACATATGTGAGCATAGTTTCAGAGAAGGGACGAATGGAGGTAAGCACAGGCCTGGACTTGCAAAGAATGGGAGTTGAGAAGCATCCTCCAAGTGTCTTTATTTTTAAAAGAATCAGGGATACTGCCTATAAGATAATTTCTAATAACAAAAGGATTAATAAAGCATCTGGAAGAAAAAAAGCTGGCAGAGCCATGCTATGGTTTGAACATTTGTGTCCCCTTCAAAATTCATACTGGAACTTATATCCGAAATGCAACTGTATTAACACGTGGAACGTTTAGGAGGTGATTAAGTCACAAAGGCAGAGCCCTTGTGAATGGGACTAACAACTTTATAAAAGAGCTGCAGGGAACTAGCTAGGCCCTTTGCCCATTCTGCCTTCTGGCCTAGTGACAAAAGTATTGTTCTCTCCAGAGGATGCAGTGTTTAAGGTCCCATCTTAGAAAGAAGACCAGGCCCTTACCAGAAACCAAACCTGCCGGTACCTTGATCTTGAACTTCCAGTCTCCAAAACTGTGAGAACATACATTTCTGTTCTTTATAAGTTACCCAGTCCCAGGTATTTTGTTATAGCAGCATGAATAGATTCTGACAAGCCAAGAGGAAGTAAAAAAAAAAAATGATTCGAGGTTAAAAACTAAATAATTAACATCTGCAACTGGCCCTTACAGTTTGCCATGACATATGCTCAGTTCCCCAAACTGCTATTCTTTTTGTCATCTGCAGAGATCCTAAGATATATTCAAGCAAATAAAAACCCCTTTTGGAGGGAGACAATGGTATTTACCTTTAATGATTCAAGATGTAGCACCAGCTCAGATTTCAGAGTCAAGTCCCACTAGTTTATAACTCTGAGGGAAAAAATCTGTTTGAATGGCTGTGAAAGGTAGCAAGTCTTACTACAAATTGAAATCAACTCTTATTTAAGGTATACTGTCCAGCTCTCAGCAGCAAAATGTCAGAAGATGTCCAAGCTTTCTTCTGGCTTTGGTTAAAAGACCAGCCCAGGCTTGCAGAACACAAAATGGACGTGATGCATGGAGTGGAAGCCACCCAGAAAGATTTCACACCACCTGCTTACATAGGAAGAGGCAGGATGTGTGGGAGAAGCCTTGCTGCCCTTGTAAGGAAATATAGGCCCGAGTCATGGCACCAAATGTAAGGAAATATAGGCCCCAAAGTGACCACGTGGAGAGAAGTGATCTGGCCAAGAGATTCTTTATTGCCGGGAGGGAGAGGGAGAGAGCAGAGAGAGCCAAGAGAAAGAGAGAGACAGGGGCAGGGGCTTAAATACCCCTCAGTGAGACTCAGCATGATCTGATTGGCTAGGATCTTATGGTTCATGCTCACTGGAGGTTGGGGCAGAAGGAGGATTCAAGCTAGACTTGAGGCAGGACTGTGACCCTGGGAGGCAGGACTGTGACCTTGGAAAACAGGAGCTTAAGGGTGCAGTAAGAACTGAAACCTATCGGCGCCATTATTGCCAACAGCCCTGAACTAAACTATTCAGAGTACTAGGACAGACGTCTACATGAGGAATAGAAATCCAATGTGATTTCAGGAGAGTGAGGAATTAATGTTCAGTTAGACTGTAGATTGGGCCAGTTCCTACTATGTGATTTAAGGAGGCATAAGTTTAAAGAGTTTGTGTTATCATTTTAAACTTCATGTTTTAAGTAGCATTAAATAGCATTAATAAAGTGCTGACAAACTATTATTAGATTTGCTTTATTAAACTGATATTTTAAGTGGCTTACATTTGCTTATTAAATTGCGTGTTTAACTGCTTGAAGTACTGAGAAACCTGTTTCATAAACACATGTAAAAGCTACCACTTGAAAACTAGGTCTTTAACCTGGATGTCACAGATTATCACAAATGCCAAGTTTACCTCGGGTCTTGATTAATGATGCTCATAGCATAGGATAGTATTCTATCCCGAGCCCCAAAATTCCTGCCACAGAATTTCCAAGGCCTTATAAGAAAACTGAGGACTCAATTCCTAAATATATCTATGGAAACCTTGATACTTAGGATCATAAAACAAAGACAGCATCCTAAACAATGTATCAACAAAATGTCACCAGCCAGGTGTTGTGGTGCATGCCTGAATTCCTGCACTGGAGGCTGAGGCAGGAAGAGTTTAAGGCAGCCTGGACTGTATAAAGTGAGTTCTAGGTCAAAGATCCCATCTCAAACAAAATCTAAACAAACAAAAATCTAAAATAAAAAAAATTAAAACACATGTCACCATCCACAAAATAGAGAAAATGAGCTGTGTATAACTAGTTTACACACACACATACTTAATTTGCTAGGTAACCCCTTCCTTGGAATTTCAGCCTTATACCTACAAATTCCTAATGTTAATAGTACTTGCATTTGCAGATAGTAAGCTTCCAAAGGAGTACCTTTACCTGCTTTGACTCTCTATTCAAACATCTAAAGTTTTCTGATTTTCTGACTAGGTACTATTCCCCCTACTGAGTATTTACTTGTGAGGAAGCAGTTGGTTGTTTTACATTCTGCCATAAGATCCGTCAAAAAGCACTCATACCTTCAGATCCAATTGATTTTTGACACTGGTACCAAATAGGTTAGGAAATAGGTTTTTAGGTATGATACCTAAATAAATTGCATTTCATCAGAATTAAAAACTTTTGTGTTTCAAACAACTCTAAGAAAGCAAAAGTCAAAGACAACACACACAGAATGGAAGAAAGCGTGTAAATCATATGTAATAAGGATTTAGTGTCTACAATATGCAAAGAACCCTTACAAGAAGGCAGGAGGCTCATAAGTTTGAGGACAGCCTGGGCTATGTAGCAAGTTCAAGGCCAGCATGAGTTACTCATTGAG